TACATAATTTCAGTTTAATAAACTTGTCAGGTCATCATTTTCTCTACCTGAAAGGCAAGCCAAAGAAAAGCAAACAACAAGAGCAAGACACTGCAAGAAGTAATTTTTAAATAAGTATACGCTTTACTGTTATAGAATCATTATGATATATTAATAGTAGGAGTGGGGACTTTCTTTGATTCCATAGTTATGAAAAAGTTAACCTATAAACCTCCATCATCAGTTGTTTCTTTTAATTGCTTGTAAACACAGATGCTTGATCCACGGTATTACATTTTGATTTTTAAGCTCCTTGAAGATAATTTAAGAAAAAGTAGTGAAACCTTGCTGTGTTTTTTAAAAATAACAATGAATATTTGCAGTATATTTATTCCTTGTAGACACTCTTGTCAGAGCAGCTTCAAAGACAGCGGCCAAGTAAAGACTGCAATAAATGCATGCTAGACAATAATAAATTCTCATAAGAACAGTTGATTCAACAAAGCTTGTGGATATAATTGAAACTGGTAAGAGAAACAAGGCTATGGATGGCAGTTTCATTAGATGATGGTGTCTTGATGATCTAACAAAATGCTGTAGCAAGGTCTCAATTTGTTTTTCACATCTTTATATGCTACTGATGGGTGTTCTGTTAAGTAATTCAACTAAACTAGGTTGCTCAGATGCTAGTACTGAGTTTGAGTCATTTCAGAATACTTCAAAAATAATAAATTATTGCTTGGTAGTAGCTTATTATAAAGGTAATTTAAGAAGTGTGGAAGAAAGATAATTTACCCCCCCCCCCCCCCCAGGCTGTGTGCTAGGTTCCTGGAAACTAACTTGGGTATTTGTGTATGAGAGAGCTTTTAGTCATTTCATACCCTTTACCTACCCAAATCAGTTCTTTTCATCCAGGATAGTTAGATGCCAGCTGAAGTAAGCTGCTTTTCACACTGCAGCTCTCCTGCTAATGAAAATGGTAGCAGTGAAATATGTGCTGGAGAAGTGGATGTGAGTTCTTCAGAAAGCATCTGCTGCTTGCTTTAACAGCTGGCCTGTCTTCAAAGGCAGCAGCTACAGGGAGTGGCATATCCCTTTGCTGCTGATTTTGCATCTGTCAATATAACTCAGAAGAGCTGGTGATGCAGGACAGCTTAATAAAAAGTTGCCTAAGACAATCAAGGCAGGATGGGAAGAACTATAGAAAAGGACACAGCAGACTAAATTTTTTTTTTTCATGAGTTCATTCAGCATGTTACAATTTCATGTGTTCATTGTAAGGCATTATACTAATGCGTCACCAGCCTAAATACGCTTTTGTCTGATCTGATCATGACTTACACAATTGTATCAATTAAAGTTTGCATTGTGTCTGGTGCTCATAATATTGAAAAACAAATTCACTGTACTGGATGCATTTCTGCTTGATCAAAGTGTAAATAGATCAACTGAAAGGTGACAAAACACAGTCCAGCATAGATGAGCGACAAACGTATTTTCTAAAATTCAGGGCTGCCTTTCAGAGGTAAACTTAGGCATTCTGTAAATGATAATGAACGAATAATTATTTTGTGATGTGGAGACCCTACTTTATGCATGAGTTCTGTATTTCATTCCTCAGGCACTAGTACTTCTCCATGAGCTCTTAATCAGGGTATTGTAGGCCTTTCTTTTTGATGCCACTTGCCTAAAGGATCCCATCACACCTACTGGTGAAATTACAGTGCTCTTCTGTGTATCTGTCTTTCACGTTGGAAAAAATGTTTGAAAGTTATTTTGGTTAAGTGTTCTTTTTTTTTTTTTCCTTTTCCTTAAATAAATTCTCCTGTCTTTTGTCAGATTTGTCAGCAGTAATAACGGGTAAAAGGTTTGGTAGGGAAAATTTGCAGTAGCAGTTTTATGCTTATTTTTACAGCGGTTGTTATTCCTGGAGCTTTAGCAAAATATAGAACAAGCTTCCTTACCCAAATTCTTTTTCTTTGCAGCAGTAGTGGAACATTTTTGCTTAATTTTTCAGACGTAGACTACTCCCTGCAATATCACATTTCAATACTAATGATTTATAAGCACAGTTATGGATGTGTTTGTACTGATTTTGCTATGAATATAGAGACCAGGACAGAGATTAGCTTTATTATAGAAATATCTGGTTGTGTGTACTAGCAGAGCCATGCTGGAAAATGCCTGCAGACATACTGTCCCCCTCCCTTTCCCCACTCTTCCCCTGAATAAGATCATGGTTGTCTCAGATTAGCAGTATACATTGAGGGATTTCTGGATGATTTAAAGTAAGGTGTTCTTTAGGATGTTTGCTAGTGTAGACAAATACTTGAAATAGGAATAAGTGATACAAGGTACCTGCTAAAAATCAGGTACCTACCAAAGTAGTGGCATACAGTTTAAGGAGAAACTGACTGATTTTTTTTCAATGGAAAGTTCAAAATTCTTGCTGCCCTGTGGGAAATACTAAGAGAAAAATGCCCTTGCAATGCATTAGTGGTTATGTGTGACGAGCTTAAGAACGTAGTAACGATCAGAAACTAGTGTCGAATACCCTGTTACAGTGTAGCCTGGGGACAGGTACTTAGACTTTCTACTTCAACTTCTAGGTGGTAGATACTGTGTTACATTTGGCAAAGGGTGTTTCACAAATTAAAGGTAGGGTTTGTATACAGCATGGCATTTGTGAAGTATATAATGAATAGCAGGACTCAATTTTCTTTGGAGGGTATTTGTTCAGTATGGAGAATTTCATCAATGTGCCTTGTATCCAGCAGATCCCACAGGACAGTAGCATTGGAAAGTCAGCGATGAGTGTAGACTACTGAGAGTAGAGTCTACTGGAAAAGTCGCTGTCTGCTGCACCCTTGCTTTATACTTGTAACGTATATATATAGGAGTATTCCATCATAAGCATGTCTTGTTAGATATCCTGTCATGTGGGACACTGTTTACTACCTGAATCAGGAATCTCTTTTCAGTTGGAAGTAATGAGAAGCTAAAGAATGGAAAAGGTTGGCAGATGAAGGAAACAACTAGGTTACAACAGAAGTTTGACCAAAATCCAAGAAAAGAGCGCTGAAGTCTGGAAAGATTCTGCAAAGGGTGGAGTAAAGAAATTTTGAGCAGCTTTTGTGTCACATGAAATGGGATAAATGTAAGAGACAAATGCTGTAATTAAGCCACAGTTAGTTGTGAGTGAGTATACACAGTGGGAAATCACCTACTGCAAGTCTTACAAGATGCCAAAAAGCACTAGATGGCACTGAAAGCAGTTGTGAGATCAGTCGTGTAAGGTTACTAGAAAGAGGACAAATGCTCTTTCAAGTTGAGCATTGTTCCAGTGTTTAACCATCCTCAGTGATTTTTTTAAACTTGTATCTAATCAGAATTTTCCATTTTCCCACTTGTGTCAGTTACCTCTAGCCTTGTCTATACCATCCCATTAAGTGCTGAGGAAGAAAAGGACCTTATCAGCACTCTAATGTTTAATGGCTTTGTATATGTAATCCTCTTTAGAAGCTTCAAAGCTTGCCATGTTGAAGTGAATGTTTGCACCATAGTCAAGTGCCTACACTATTATAAAGCATTTGTATTCTCTTGCAGAAAATTTATAGCTTACTGTAATACAAACAGAGAAAGTTAAAATGATTTTATGCAACTGAATTTATTTTTAAATATGCACTTTAAAAATAAATCTATTAAATATTGCTATCAAAATGAAGGTTAAGACAAATGATGAGACTTAGTAATTATTCATGGCTATTAGTGTTGGTTTCACAGGCACGGAGTGCCCATAATGTGGTCTGTTAGTTCCATGAAAAAGGACTTTTAAAGAGAACCACTGGTAACTGACTTCTGCAGGATTTTCTCTGAGAAGATAGATAGCACCTGATAAATGTGGCATGAAGAATTGATTTTATGAGCCAGTAGTCCCAGAGTTAGTGTGTTATCAGGATTGCTAATAGCCTAATCTGAGTTTGAGATACCCATTATCATAAGTTGTTTTTAATCGTGAATTCCCATCAGAGCTATTTTGTCAGACCAAGCTTCCATAATGTTGATATTTGTTATTCATAGCAACCATATTTTTGTTTTGATATATGCACCACTATCAGACCTATATTCGGAAGGGTGCAGGTTTAGAGGCTTGAAAAATGCTGAGAATTCTGGATGACATAAAGTAAAATGCTTATCTTGCATATATGATGGGGCCAGTTAACATATTTAACTGCTTTGCTCTCCCTGGGTCGCTATGCTGCAACCCTGTTTGTAACAGGGTGAGAGGGCATTGAAGTTATCCCAGGGTATGTACAGGCTAGCTAATCTTATTTTAAAAAAAAAAAAGAAGAATTGAAAATGTAAATTATACACTATATGAAATTTTTATGCTTCAGAAATTTATCTTGCCAGAGGGAAAAATAAGAGTGAGGAAAGAATCTGAGAAGAAAAAGTGAAAGGAAGAAAAGGGGGGTAGTATGGGGCTTTTTGTGTGTGTGTGTTTGTTTTTAAGAACATTAATGTTTTTGGAAAAAAAGGAATATTTGCAGTTGTGAAAGTGAGGTACAGGTAAAATATACACTCTTGTCTTTGGAACAGTCGTGTATGCATTTGTTCAGCTTTATATATACTCCGTTTAACTTTTAGATAAAATATAAAACTTAATTGAAAACAGTAATGAACCAAACATACATTTTTTCAGTACCATTTACTGGCAGCAAAGTTCTGAAGATGTGAGATTTTTATTTTTTTTTTGCATATTTAAAAGGATGGTAATCTAATTGTAAAGCTAAAATACAGGGGATTAGGTTGCAGCATGAAATTCACCCTTCTGCAACACCCTCTGACTTCCAGTGTACCAGCAGACCATTTACTGGACACAAGCTGCTTAATTTTTTAAAAATTATTTACAAAAAAATAAAAAATGGTTTGAAAATTCTAACAAAACCCCCCAAACCCACCCATAGCAGTAGAACAGATGTTCAGATTTTTCTCATGTTGATTTTTCCTTTCTTTGACAGTGACTTGTTATCTTCCAATTATGTGGAGATTCACTATGAAGATGGAAAACCAAAGCTTTCTAAGGTATTGTGCTTTTAAAATGTGTCAGAATGATCTTTCTGAGGGAAAAATGCCAATAAAATGTTAAAAAAAGAAACAAAGTTTTGCAGGACTTAAAAACACAAGAAGCCTTTTTCCACAGATACGACATAACTGTGATCTCATCTTGTAAGAATACCTCAGTAATACAAGAATTACTGTACAAAAAAGGAAAGCTGTGTGTTGAGGTGAGGGATAGGCAGTGTTAGCTGGTAGTAGTGAAGACGATCCAGATACTGCTAGAACAATTACATCTTGTAAAATGTAGGGGATGGAAGGGTTAAAGTCACCATCAGTACAGTCTTCGTTAATTATTTACATGTCCTTAGCACAAAGTGCAAGGGGAAGAGATAATGGTAATGTATCACCTTCAAACAAACCAAAAAAACTTGCAGTGACTTTTCTTGGCAAAAATTACTCAGTTGTGAAACAGAAAATTAAAGACTTACCTCTAGAGGTTAAGGTTTCAGTTATTACAAAACCAGCATATTGCTTGTCATCCAATTAATTACATTTGTCAAACTAGCTCCCAAATTGAATTCAGTGCCATAGACTATTGATCCAAAGACAAAGAGATTAAAGTTATGCAAGATAGTTCAGCCCTGACTAACGGAACCAGATCAGTCTTTTTGTTTGTTGTAGTAACAAAACGAGGACTGGTAAGTTCCTAGGAAGGTTATAAACTATATTCTCAGGGAATCACATTTTTCATATTTGGTATGAATGCTGGGATGTTTGTTGTGAGCTTATTACATGTGAAATATATCTCTAGAGTGGAGGCAGGTAAGCATTCAAGTTGTATGTATGCCTTCAGGAAGTCAGGACTGTTGTTTGTCCAAGTATTACGTCTAGTTTGTTATTTTGCCCCTGTTACAGAGAATCTCAAATAAAACTATGTATTACAGATTAGGGCAAAATGAAACAATTACATTGGAATATAATTACTGCAATATACTGTTTTGTTTTCTTCCACTGAAGAAGAAAAATAGTTTCATGTAATGTACTAAGGAAGTTGTTTCATTAAGACTCGGTACTCTGCAGAATAGGCAAAAATGCTAAATGATGCAAGAAAACAATTCCCTCTGGCATTTAGACAAGCTCATGCAATTGTCAGCTGCAGCACTAGCATTGAGCACTGCGGTTGCTGAATCATGAATCTGACTGGAAGATTATATTAGAACTTCAGACTCAGCAAATGGACTACCTTTGCATGCTGCAGTAACTTGATCCAAACTTCCTAGGGGATGTTTTCTGAATTGATTGATTTAGAAACAATAATAGAGCTCCTGAGATCACATTAATCTGTAAAAGGCTTCATTATAAGTTCAGAAAATACACACACAGTTTGTGTAGGAGTTCAAATAAGGACTGTATCCTGGTCTTCTGCAGTATCTTAGAATCCTTTTTAGACCTGAGTAGGTAAAAGATTGTTTTGTTTCCTGACGTGGATGTAAAGAAGTGAGATTTTGATGAAAAGTACTTTATTTTTTAGAAAGGGGTAGTTTATTATAAGAGTGAAAACACTGAAGAACAAACAGCAATTTCTTTACTCAAAGGACTGTCTTTTAAAAAATATTCTTGAAAAGCTACTTGTGTGAGAAAGATAATCATGCTTTAGTTGTTAAAAAGCATGGCTTATGCATTCTCACTGATGGAAAGGTAAATATGCAGTGACTGCTTTCTGTGTAGTACTTCAATTATGTACAGTAGTCTGTTAGGAATTTCATTCAGGATCTGAATAACTCATTAAATGAGATGCAAAATGGAAATAATGCTGTGCATACTTTAAAAAAGAGCATTTACATTTTTGGTACTTCCTTGAGTTATAGTAATTGCAGAAGGAATGGGTCCAATATGCTTTTTGGAATTCAGATGACATATGACACCAGAATTAAGAATATTTTGATAATGAATGATACATTTTTCAAACAGTGTGTGAGAGAGACAACCACACTTAAGGGTTTTTAATAAAACTTTTTGAGAATACTTTTTATCTTTAGTTTAGCTGGGGTTATTGATAAACTTTAAAGACCAACTACTTCAATGAGGTAAATTAGTATCATTCAGTTTTCCTCATTTTAGTTTAACTGACATATAGCAGCAGAATTTCTAGTATTTAACAACTTCTAAGTTCACTAGTCCTTTTTCTTTAGAAAGTCAAAGCGATTTTTCTTGGTTTCTTTCTAAACATTGATAGCTTGAACAGTCTGTTAATATTGTTCTTGATGCTTTGTTTCTGTTGATAGAAAATAAATATACTCTTCTTGTTTATTCAGTTGAACCATTCATATGAAGCCAGTTTATTTTACGCTTAGTCACGATAAGTAGTTCTGTAAGCCTCTAACAGTACGGTCAACTTATTCCTCAGCGATTTATGGAATTTTAGGGGTTAGTAATCTGCTGTCTAGCAATAAGGATAGAATTAATTTCTGTATCAGAATAGAGATAAAGGATTTAATAATTTGCCATGTGACTGCCTATGGTATGTAATCCTAAAAATAGGCTAAAGATTTTAGGTTTTTAAACATATTTAGCTATTTACAATCAAATAACACAAAACTCGTGATAGTGCAGTTGAACTCTTACTTCCATGACATGGAGAAATTAAATCACACATATTTAGTAGGTAGAAGAAAACTAGAACACGTAGAGAAAAATGTCAAATTATGAAACTACAGAAAGTAAAAAATATTGGAGATTGAAAAATATCTTAATGAATTTATTTTAACACTCATAATTCTTCTATGTGAGTAGATGATGCTTTGACAAAACAATTACTTCTGAATTTCTCATCTGAATCATTTATTTATTGTACTCTGCTCTTAAGACCTCCTCCTAGAAGCCTCCTAGCCTCTGGGGTACAGAATCATGCTCCCTCTTTCTGACTTCATAAACCTTTGTGTTTTCTACAAAATGAGACTGCTTTAGCTTGATTTGTGTAGGGTGCTCTGACACAAAGTAGCCAGTAGCTTTGGAGATGGAGCACACTTGTAGAAGGTGGGGGAGATGTGAGTTGACTGTCTTCAAGGTGACCTGGGAAATTGTTCAGCGGTTGGGAAACCTGGGATGAGTGCCATAGTTATTAGCCAGAGAGGGGCATTGGCATCTAATGGTCAATATTTTGAAAAGAAAGCCACTGCAAGTCTATTTTGTGATTTGTTGCTCTGTCTTAGGTGTGTTCTGAGCATTCTTGAAGTTCTCTGTCCACTTTAAGGAGAGCTTAGAAAAGAGCTAATTGCTTCAGCAGAGGAGAGCTCAACTTTGCTCATTCTGTGATGAAAACCAGGCAGGTCCAGGGAACCTGCACTTTTAATTCAGAGGAAAGCGTGTAGCATTCACTAGAGTCTAGTTGGCACCTGAGCAAGGATGTTCTGGATCAGAACTTTAAGATTTTAAGCATGTACAAATTTTTCTCTGTGGTATTTTGGTCTCCTGCTTTGTCCTGTTCCCCCCCAAATATACAATATTACAACTTCCCTTATGTTATTGTGGAGAAGTGGAAGATTATACACAGAGCTTCATTACAAGCCTGTTTGGTAGCACATTCTGCACTAATTCTATTCAGCCTAATTCCTGCTTCAGCTGCCTGTTCAAATCCTGCATTGCAGCATTTAGCCTTACTTCATATCATTAGGGCCTTTGAGAACTGAGTTTTTGACAGTTTTGGATGCAGTTTGCCTAATTTTGGGGCTATTTTTAAACTATCTAAACATTTAAACACATTTGTAGGTAATTTAAGTGTTGCTTTTTTTTTTTTTTTTGATAGGCAGGGCCTTGCCTAAACCATGTTTGCTGACTTAGAGAAACACAAAAACCCTGCTGTTTTTTGAATAATTTAGGCTTTGCATCTATTTGGAATTTTATGCAGTTAAAATCAAGAGTGACTTTTAGTACCCTTTTGATAGGTACAGTAAAAATGCAACTGTATGCTTTAGTTTTGTGAAACTGGATTCACTTTCTGGCTCATTCATCACTAGGGATATTGGTACATATAGTCTAATGATGTAACATTCTAACTGATAAATTTTCAGTGAGACAGAATTTGTAGAACCCAGATCTAAGCCAAATACATGCCCAGGTGGTGATCGATGAATACTGTATCACTTGTAATTTTAACAGGCCTAGAAGGCATCAAGAAACAATTCAGCCCTCATGTAACCTGCATAATATAACACTTTACAGAATCAATTTACAGCAAAGAAATGCACTTAAAAAAAGATCAAGACTGCTGTGACTTCAACAAAAGAATAACCCATGTCATGGCGTGAAGACATATAAATTAGTTTTTACTGGGCAGTTTTTCTCTTATAAGCGATTAGGGCTAGTCATTGGTATTTACTTTAGCAGTCAGTGCTTTCTCTGAAATTTTACCTAACATAAGGGGGTTTTTGCTTTGGTTTTAAGCAACAAACATTAAATCAGGGTAATTTTGTGTGTGTGTGATTGTTTGTTTTTAAATGTTATTAGGGTGGAGAGCATTGTTACTACCATGGAAATATCAGAGGTATCAAGGATTCCAAAGTTGCTCTTTCAACTTGTAATGGACTTCAGTAAGTGCATATTCTCATTTTTCAAACAAGGCTATTAACTAATTATTACTCTTGAATATTATCTCTTAATATGTGAGGGACTGAAACTCTCCAGGCCCAAAGATTGTCTATGTTTTGAAATGTTAGTACTAGCTATGCCAAACTGCTAGCATTTTTTTTTTTAGTATCATGGGGATTAAAGTCTTTTGATGCTGTCTCATGAAACCTTTGAATATGGTAAGTGCAAATAAATATTTTACCAGATGACTACTTATGGTAAAGAATAAACAAGAATTGTACTTTAGCAGTTTGCATTCTCAGTATTCATGTATGATTCTATCAGCCAATAAAAAAATTGATCTTTTTTTGTTAGTTTGTACATGGAAAAAATGTGAGAAACTAATTCTTACTAGGATTAGTTACTGTTAAGTGCAGCTCAGCTGTTGATTATATTCCGCATGTTAATATGTTTCTTGGGACTTCGTCTTTCCAAGGTCAAATCTTTACTCCTTTTGGTGCTTTGTCATTACATTCAGTGTTAGTTCATTAAAATGTGCCTGATCTCTTAAAAAGAATTTTTAGCTTTAGCCACGTGCAGTAGTAATGAACATATATGGAGTTTATTTTAATGTTGATCAGTTTTTCTACCCTAAGTTTAGTTTTTGTCTTGGCAAAAATCATATCCTGGAGTCAAATTAATTGCCATGTAATCCTAAATATCACTTCTTTTTCTTCATGTTCTAGTGGCATGTTTGAAGATAGTACTTATTTGTACTTGATAGAACCGATGGATCTCACCCACAGTGCAGTAAGTTTATTTTTATCTAATTTATTTGGTTTGGAAAAGAGAGGGCTCAAGGAACAGCAAATAAAAGTATTAGAATAAATAGAATAAAATTAGAATAAATGTGTGACCTCTGTCATTCGTTCATATGAAAACCAAAAGTATTTTAAAACACTTGATTGGAATTTATTTAAGAAAAGAAATGTGTATGAATTACCTAAGATTTTTCTCTGCTTTTCTTTAATCTTTCTGTTCCTAGTTATTGTTGATCATTTAGATGTTGGGAGTAGGCTGACTGTTTCTGTAGCAAATGATTATGGACTGTCAAAAAGTGTTTTATCAGTTTGTGTTAGTACTTGAACTAAAGGATTTATAAATTCATAGGAAGTCATTTATTCATCCCTCTCTAAATGGTTGCGTCGGATTGCTCTTAACCTAGTATGTTTCCATAAAGAGCTTAATGAAGTAGAGCTTAATTGTATCTAGGTACCTTACATTTTATATGTGCTAAGTCAGTGGTCACTGTAGAGCTTAAATTATTCTGAGCCAGCATATTCAAATATATGACTATGCTGGATCAGCATGTAGGCCTGCATTTATGCAAATCTCTTGCTAAATATTATTATTTTTGTACTTCATTGTTAAGTCTTATAATACAGTTGTTCCTAAAACTTTAGTTGTTAATAGAACTGACTCAATTTCATAGACCGTAGTAAAACCAGGTTGATCTCTACCTCTTGAATGGTTCAAAGATTTGAGTGATTTTTCAGTGAAATGATTCTGCAACGTTGAGACAGAGGATTCTTAAGGTTTGTATCCTGCTTGGACTGTACAATATATTCCAAATGCTGTATCACAGCTCTCAAGCTTGTCTCACTCTAGTACTTACCAGTATATGACAAATAATGTAATGCTGCAGAACTGGTATGTTTTAGTGACTGTGAAGCTGAACTTACAGTCCAAATAAAGATCTGCAAAATCTTTGACTCCTGACACTTTCAAAGAAACTGGATCAAACATTCAGAGGAATAGGTATCAATTGGATGGTCAATTATTGGGCTGTAAATGAAACTATAAAGACATGGGAAAATATTACAACCAAAAAGTTTTCTCATTCTACTCAGGAGAGCAGTATTACATGCTATGTGTTAAGCTATGTAATGCATTTTGATGTAGCCCATATTCATAAAGGTTGTAAGGCTGAAAACTGAAGGACAGATACAGTAAATTCGTGGAGATTATATTTATACAATGGTATCCATATAGTAGGCAGAGGAGAATTTGACTAAACTTGCTTCGTTGGACAATATATGTCTCTGTGTGATATTTCAGTAAAACTTGGAAGTAGAACAAAAGTTTTGGTTATAAAAGTGAGATACAATCTGCCAACTCTGTTGAGGGTTCAAGTGGAATTCTAAATGTTAAAAAGACAGATGAGAAGAATATTTTTCTATAAACTACGGAAAATCAAAGTCATACAGCTACAGAGAACTTTCACAGTCTCATTTTTTGATTGTGCTACATGAGATAAATACCTTGGACACAGCCTTCAGCATGTAGTTTATTCAGCTTGATTAATTATTAAACTATAGTAGATACTATATACAACTCTCCCTACCCCCCAGGAAACCTAGCAAAAATATGTAGTATTTTCCTTCAATGTGTTATGTATTTCTTATGGAAGTTACAGAACAGTAGCAACCCACCTTTTGAAAAGAATCACTTGTTTTGGCAGGTTCTACAGAGGAGGTGTTACAGAAGAAGAGAGAGTTGTTTTCTAGAGCAGATACCAAAATGTGATAATTTGGGGCATGCCAGGCTTCTAAAGAAAATATGCGTTAAAAGTCTTCTCCTTTCTAAGTTTTGTACACACCAATAAAAAAGGGTGAAATAATCCCCTTAAAGATAACATATTGATTAGTTTCTTGCATTTTGCTGCAATTAGAAAGATACATATTTGTTATAAATAGTAATAGTTGCTTTTCATCTGTGGGAGGAAGATTTCAATTAGATATATACTCTTTAATTTAATTTATTGGAATAAATGGTCTGTGTTCTCTAACACTAAGGCTTTTAAAGGACTTTTTTCAAGTAATCTCAAAGCCATCTGTGATACTTCAGTTTTGTAGGCCAGTAAAATGTGCTGAAGCAGAGAGGCTCCATGATTTGTTCAGGATTGCAAATAGATTGCTTCAGATCAGTACTATGCCAAATTGGTACTATGATTGCTTGCGTTTTATGGAAAAATGATAAATACTGAAAGAAGTGTCTCACTTCTCACTTGATATTATTAACCGGAAGAAAATGTCACATATTTTTCTTATCAGGAAAGTAAAAGTCGGCCACATATCATCCAAAGAACTTATGGAACACAAGCGTCCAAGCAGTTGCAGGACCTTGGTATGTTTCTGCCTATGTTATGAGTTTCTCAGTATTGGAAATAGTTGTATATATAACTTGAAATAAGTGAATGTTAGACTAACAGTCTATATAAAATTGCTGATTATTTACAAAAACTTGAAAAATAGTTACTAACCTGACTTTTTTCACAATTATTGCAATGGAGTTTAGAGTTGTCAAAAAGCAGCTGAAAGATTTCCATCCATGAAAACCTTTATTTAGCTTTCTTCTGCAAATAATTTAACTTAATCACTGATATTAATGCTATTGAGGACACAAGGTGGAAGAAAACGTATATTCTAAGCCCAGGTTACAATCTCTTTACCTCCCCTTGCATGCTTTAATTCTAACTTTAGATGTCTAAAGGACTTGAGTTTTCATATGAGATATTTTGCATTTTGTGTATTTTTGTGTACTTTTCAATAGCAAAGGTTCTTCTAATTTTGGTGATCTTAATCTACTTTTGGTTTAGACAGTATACATGAGTAGTTTAAAATAATGCCATAAAATTCTTAAATTGTAATTTGTACAGAGACTGAATCTAGTTCTGAATGGCCCTTTCTGTCTGAACTACAGTGGCTGAGGAGAAAGAGAAGAAAGAGAGCAGTGAGTAGAAGTGTGACCCTGAGTTAAGACCATTTATAAAAACAAAGCCAAACCCACTAATTTCCAGATTTTTTTAATGTTGAGAGAACAACTAGAAAACAGCTATTTTTGGTAGCTTAATATTGTCACGTAATACAGTTACCAAATGATAAAACAAGAAGGTTATTCTTTAAAAACAGAGTATTTGGAGAAAAGTGGATAAACTTTCTAAAGTGACAGCAATACTATTCATCAATTGGATGGAAGTCTAGTAACAAAAATGAGTTTAGAATTTTAAGTTTTGAGTCTGCTTGAGAATAAAGAATAATTTTGAATGAAGTCTTGCTACTTTGTAGATTTCTGACTTTATTTTCATTTGGCTCGTTAAGTAGCATGATTAAATTAAAAATCCAAATGAGGACACCCAGAACGGGGTTATTGAGAGAAGTGGACAGTCCTCATGATCTGCACATGTGTATGTGTCAATTAGGGGAATAATTGAGTTAAAGAAGATTAATCTATATTTCTTCACTGAGTTGCACAAGCCACAGCATATTTTTTGAGGGTGCGTCTATTTTTAGTAACTTCATTCCACAGTGGACCAAGGGTTTTTAGTGTTTGAGGTTCTTCTCCTTTATGAAGAGGAGGAAAGCAGTGGTGGCTTCTGCACTGAACCCAAAAGAATAGACTCTAAACAATTTTAATGATGTGACTCGGATTCTTGGCCAATGTCTGTCATAACTCACTAAGTTACTGGAGCTGTGAATATTTACCCTAGTTGAACATCTGACTCAATTTTTACAGGTTCACACACCCTACATAATATTTATGCGTAATCCTATTAAATCAGCTGCAGTTATTTTGGAAATCACTACATCTTCATGATTTCTCAAAGAATGTCTTTAATCCATCAGGTATCTCGTGGTATCTTTGAAGAAATGAAATATCTGGAGCTCATGATAGTCAATGACCATAAAATGGTAAGTATATCAGTTTGGTGGTAATCTTCCTTTTGATTATAATTTGTGGGTTGATGTTCAGCGCTGTGCTGTATCAGCTAATTTTGGGTCAAATATTTTGTTTATTGGCAGCTGTTAACATTTGTACTGTAAGACATAGCATTATTGGGTATTATGGCATATACTTAATATTATCTAAGATTTTCTACAGCAATTATATATTCAAAATACATCTGAAACACTTTGGTATCATATGGATAATTTAATATACCCATAACCAACAAAGTAAGGCAACAAAACATTTATGTCCAGAACAAACACACTAAAAATTCTAAGTTCCAAGTTATTCTTGCTTAGCTTTCTCAGCTGTTTATTGACTAAGAGGTAAATAAGGATCATCAACTCTGAGTGTGACTTTGCTTCTGTGTAAGCAATATCTTTTTTTTTTAAATCAAATTCTGTGATAAAACAGTTTCTGCTTATTTTATGTGCAAGTAAAATAAACTTTTAAGTCTCTGTAAGAGCTCCTTGCATCTCTCACTCTACTGAAAGTTTTCCCAATGCTTTGGTTGTTGTGGGCTCTTTTGACAACACTGAAGGATGACTTTAAAGAGCCAGAAATAGCAAGTATCAGAACAGGATGTGGTGTTTTGTACTTGTTCCAGTGCTGAATAGACAGGTAATACAACCTTCCCTCATCTGCTTAATAAATCACAGAAATAGTCTGCACAAAAATAGTCTATATTTAATCTGTGTCAATTCAGCAACGTGGGGGGAATTTGAATGGGTGGGAAGAGTATGACAGAAACTTCTTCAGCAGTTTTGACTTGTAAAGCCACCTGCTAGGAAACTATTTGAAGAGTGCTCACGTGTTAGTTGGTTAGGGTAGGGCACAGTAACTGAAGTTACATATATTTTGTTGTCTTGTTTGAGATTAGTGTACTTTATGAAGAGGTAATATTTCTATGTCTGTCTGTTTCCTCTGGCCTCTTGTGTTTACAGACACACTTAATGGACAACCATCCTGTTCACTATGAATATTTCTATGTCTGTCTGTTTCCTCTGGCCTCGTGTTTACAGACACAATGGACAACCATCCTGTTCACTACACCTGTTACAGACACTAACTGTTGTCTCCTCTCACGTTTCATTTGTTAGAACTTTAGACCACAAACGTTCAAGATTTTTTGCTTCAGAGTTGTCAGTGTCTCAGAAGCAGATAATAATTTTTTTCAAGGAATAAAATGGATATACTTAAGGAAGTGTTCACAATTAGGAGTTAAATCCTGCCAATCCAGGAGCCCACTAAATGTACTTTTAAGTTTTCTGCTTACCAGTAGAGGGCAGATTTCTACTGTAGCAAGGTTCTCTGTTGGCAGAAGCATCTTAAGCCTTTTCGGCCATTGTGTTGTTAAGTGGTTAATACTATGCATTTTCACAAAATTTTCCTTTCCTGTAACACTAAAGATGCAGCTAAGCGTATTTAATTAGGTTGTTGCACTTTTTACTGACTTGCTCAGCTTAATTTCTGTTTTAGGAGCTGTGTTAAAACACATTAGGTTGTATATTGCTATTGAGTTTGGCTTTTAAATACTTCCATGAAAACCAAGAACATTTTCCAAAGTATATTATTTTGCCTTTCCACTTTGGGGAAAGTTTGGGCTTGGCTCAAAACAAAAAACCAAAGCCATCCTTCCCCTCTCCCCCATTATTTTGTTCTAGTATCATGGTTTGGGGAGCAAACAGAGTCCCATGATGTGGATACTCTTCTCAGGGTACAACCTAAGTGCCTACTAGCACTGTAGATGAAAGTGCTTTGTTTTGAGAATAGGTATGGGGAGGGGGTGTCTGCAAACCTATGTTGTAGGGTCTTTGGGTATTAAAACCTGCTGTGGATGTGCTGAAACATTGTAGAACTTAACAGTGAATAACTGCATATGTAAAAAAATTATCTTCCTGCAGTCAAATGAATAAGTGTCATAAAATTTGATGACCTTTTTGTTATCTCCATGGCATTTTGTCCATAGAAAACTAGATTGCTCATGCAAAAGTATCTGGAATTTAAAGGGATGGAAAATTTGTTATCTAGTAATAAAGTATGTGTGCATGTCACTCTTCTGACTTTCAATTTGAGAAACAATTATTTAATTTTAAAAGCATATGTGTCTTTCAGTTTTACTTTCACCTTTGCACCAAGCATAGTTCTGGAAAACAGGGGATTTGTTTTGTAATTCTAATTTGGGAAGGTAGTTAATCATCTAACTTATTTGATAAGAGTAGCTACTCAGTTGCTCAGAGAAGAGTCAGACCCTCTTGTCTCAAGGGCTCTTTTTGGGTACTGTGCTTTGGAGTGGGAATAGCTGACACTTTCATGGAACTTGATAATGTTTGCTCCTGAGTGATGAGATTTGTTGCTTGTAACCAGTACTTGAAATTTGTCATTTTTTTTAATGAAGACTTTTTACCCTCTTTGTGCAATTTTGTGTTCCTTTTCTGTGAAATTTTGAAGACTTGTTTTTCCTGCCTGTAAATCATATTGTGTAATGTAATTTGACTTTGAACAGATGGGACTTGTGGGGCAGGATGGGGAAAGACATGAAACAATTGTAATTACATGTACAGAAATTAGGAAGCAGAACTTGCAATACAGTTCATCTATGTCTATAGGAATGGAAAAAAAAATTGAAGTTAAAACTTAGGATATTGAGCTTAACTCTTTCCACATTCAAACATATATTTACTTTTACCATGCACTCCCTTTTCCTTTTTGCCTTTTGGTATAAGTAATGCTACTTGTCATAGAAGTCTTGTGTTATAGTAGAGAAAGGATGCCTTTGCAAAGAGCTGTACGCAGGGCAAGTGGGAAATGCTTCATCTTCATGGCTCACAGTTAGAGTCATGGAATGTTGCTAGTACACTCTGATATTTAACTTATCAGGTTAAGCACAGTTTTAATGGGTACAGCATCCTCTCAATTTTGAGCTCATGTTTATTGTCCTGGTTTCGGCTGGGATAGAGTTAATTTTCTTCATAGTAGCTAGCATAGTGCTGTGTTTTGGATTTAGTACCAGAAGAATGTTGATAACACACTGATGTTCTCAGCTGTTGCCAAGTAGTGCTCAGACTACTCAAGGACTTTTTGAGCTTCTCCTGCTCTCCCATGTGCCTAATCAGCTGGTAGTGATTTTTGTAATTCTAATTTGGGAAGGTAGTTAATCATCTAACTTATTTGATAAGAGTAGCTACTCAGTTGCTCAGAGAAGAGTCAGACCCTCTTGTCTCAAGGGCTCTTTTTGGGTACTGTGCTTTGGAGTGGGAATAGCTGACACTTTCATGGAACTTGATAATGTTTGCTCCTGAGTGATGAGATTTGTTGCTTGTAACCAGTACTTGAAATTTGTCATTTTTTTTAATGAAGACTTTTTACCCTCTTTGTGCAATTTTGTGTTCCTTTTCTGTGAAATTTTGAAGACTTGTTTTTCCTGCCTGTAAATCATATTGTGTAATGTAATTTGACTTTGAACAGATGGGACTTGTGGGGCAGGATGGGGAAAGACATGAAACAATTGTAATTACATGTACAGAAATTAGGAAGCAGAACTTGCAATACAGTTCATCTATGTCTATAGGAATGGAAAAAAAAATTGAAGTTAAAACTTAGGATATTGAGCTTAACTCTTTCCACATTCAAACATATATTTACTTTTACCATGCACTCCCTTTTCCTTTTTGCCTTTTGGTATAAGTAATGCTACTTGTCATAGAAGTCTTGTGTTATAGTAGAGAAAGGATGCCTTTGCAAAGAGCTGTACGCAGGGCAAGTGGGAAATGCTTCATCTTCATGGCTCACAGTTAGAGTCATGGAATGTTGCTAGTACACTCTGATATTTAACTTATCAGGTTAAGCACAGTTTTAATGGGTACAGCATCCTCTCAATTTTGAGCTCATGTTTATGTTCGTGTTTACCTGTAATTTTGTCTCGAACATTAGAACTCTGATTCTACATAGGATATATCTTCTGGCTAAATGCTCCTTCTATAGATGTGAAAGGCTGTCTAGCATACATGGCTTCCTTTATCTTCCAGGGATTCTTGAATATCAGAAACAGGTTGTGATCTGAAAAGCTTTTGGAGTTTTTCCCTTAAAATAATAATTTTCCTTTCTTGCTGTAAAAATAATTAGAAATAAATATTTAAGTTCTCACTGTGTTCTCCTTTTTCTTCTCCTTTTAGTTCAAAAAGCACCGTTCTTCAAATGCATACACAAACAATTTTGCAAAGTCTGTGGTAAACCTTGTAGATGCTGTAAGTATCAATGTTTCTTCTGAAAACTGTATCACTGACTTTCTTAGTTTAGCACTGTATTTAAAAAGTTAACATTAGCAGATACCAGGATAAAAAAAAATTAGCAGCTATAATAATTACATTTAAAAACTCATTTCCAGTTCCTCTGCAGAAGAATAGCCTGGGGTGAATGCGTAAGAAACCACCAAATTATCCTTGGCATTTTCCTCAAAGCTTGCAACTACCAGAGTTTGTCCTTGGCAGGGGGGATTTCAGACTTGAAGGAGCTTTCAGTATCTGACACTGCTTAAGAATGAGATTTAATCAAGTTTAGATCTGTGAAACAAATCTAACCACAAGCGGTTGAAGCCATGAGTATAGTTCACAAAGGATAAGCATATCTATTGGAAGAAGAAGAGTGTGAATAAAAATTCTCCTTTATAAATCTGTATTTATAGCTTAAAACCAAACAAAATCCCATTGTAGTACATTATAAATTAGTGGCACCGATACAGATACCATACTTGTATCTGACTAAATTTAGAATAATTTCACGTAGAGCGTATAAACTAAAAGTAAGATTTGTGGTAAAATTTGATTTTTTTTTTCTCTTTTTGATATACATGTAATGACCACGAACATTTCAGAGCTGTGTTTGTAGTAAAAACAGGATAGAGTCTCTAGTAGTGATGAATACAAAGGCTAACAAAATTCTGGCTCTTAAGTCCCTTTCCCATGTGACGTTATTGATAGCAATAGAACTGTGTGATACAATTCAATACAAAACACTGTCAACTGTTTAGTTTGGAGGAAGCAATACAGTATTTGTTCTTAGTATCTTGTATATAAAGTATTACGTATACTGTATGTATATTGAAAATTTAGCTGAATATACTTATAATACATGAAATGCTGGAAGTGTTTTGGAGTAGTTTTGTGTAATGGTCTGAAAATGCCAGTAGTCTGAAGAAAAGTTACAAGAGCAGATAAAAATAAAAATATAAATAATTGAAATAATATTTCTGCAGTTTTTATTGGACATTCCCAAAGAAGGGTGGCATCTTCATTTTTTTCTCATCTGATTGTTATTTCTTTGTATTTCTTCTGTGTTTTAACAGAAGTTATTTAACCTATCTTTTCTTTCTCTGACTATTCCTTCTGTTTTCCATTTTTATTTGCTGGATGTATGTAAACAGAAATACACAGAAACATTCAGCTTCTCTCCAGTCTAGAATTCATTCCCCTCATAGACATCTTGCAAAATGACATCTTAATGGCCTTTCCTGTAAACAAAGCATGAAAAGGAGCAGGAATATTTGCCATGTTATTCCCTGGTGTTTATAGGGAGTGGGCTGTATTTCTTACTGATACATTCTTGAGAAAAGGATATTGGCTTTCAGAGGCTTCCAGGTTCTCTGCCCCCTCTTCCATTCTTTTCTTCCAGTTGCTTCAGGAAATACAGTTTTCCTCTCAGCAAACACAAGTAAAGTCTTTATTGATCCACCCATACGTAATTTCTGTGGTTTAATTTTATTGATTTTTCTCATATTGTTAACTATTTTGCTGTGTATGTCCTCAGCCTGTCTCTCTGATTGAAGCATATTAATATTCTTTTTTCCTTCAAAGTTCTTGGACAAAATTGAGCTTATCTGGTTGTGCTCTCTTGCTCTTAAATTTACTGCCTTTTTTCCTAAGCTGAGTATGAAAATGAACTTTCCTTTTGTGTATTTTATGCATTAGGCAGCCAATGTATTAATTATCCAGTGCCTTTAGATCATAACTAAGTATGATCAATAAGTGTTCTTCATGTGTCATGTAAGACTTTTGATGGGTAGACTGTCTATTGCGGATAAGGAATGCATCCTTTGTAGATCTACAAGTTCTGAATAACCTTAGTTAGTAAAATTCAGCATTTTATCACCTGAACCTGAAGAGACCAGCAGTTTTATTTCAGAATCAAGTATCATGCACAAAGTTAAAATGGATATTTTAAAACTGTTTTGTAATTATTAGGGCCTGATTGTAATTTCTTTGTCTATTGCTACAGTGACATTAAAATTAATAGAAAAATTAATATTCTTACTTAATTTTCACATTACTTGAGTAGCATTAAGTGATCATATTATAAATTAAAATCAAGCATTATGTGAATTAAATTTTGGATGTACTGGAGAACTGAGAAATTATTTAATCTTGTCTTAAGAATTGGCTCTGGCTGTTCTTTGTCTCTGAAATATTTATTTTCTTTTTCTTGGGGATCACCGAGTGGACCTTTACATTTCTTCTTTGCTGATTTTTGTACAGGTTTTCTGCCAAACTCAGTGGTGAAATTATTTGACATGAGAATTTTGAAGAAAAGGGAGTAGCTCAAAAAAAGAGCAGCAAGGGGGTTTTTTTTGTCCTCTAAAACATAAAATTTAAGTTGGTTAGAATATTAACTTTTAGGAAATCCAAGGCATTACCAGCTAACTGTTTCCCCATGTTTCCCTCCTGCTTTATCCCTCTTGTCCTTCCGCTTTACTCTTACTGGCTAACTGTGCATGTTTGACCCAGTGTTCTACTCCTGTGCCTGTCCTGTCTCTGTCCTCAGATATACAAGGAACAGCTGAACACCAGGGTGGTTCTTGTGGCTGTGGAAACTTGGACAGACAGAGATCGTATTAATATTCACCCTGACCCTCTGCAGATGCTTCATGATTTCTCCAAATATCGACAGCATTACATCAAACAGCATGCTGATGCTGTGCACCTGCTCTCGTATGTACCATTATACAATGGTTTAGACTACAGTTTTATATATTGTTTTTTGTCTACTGCTTTTGTCTACCTGTCTCTTCTTGCTTACTTTTTTGTTTGGTAGTCACTACATCGATCATCTCCCTTCCTTAGGAAACATAATCTATTTTTTAACATGTTAGTGTATTTTTAATAGGTGTAGTTCATACCACGGTTGTGTTGATATATATCTATAATGAAATTTTAGTATCTTTTGCAACCTGGAGACAGTGTCACATGTTTGAAGCATCTTCTGATGAGCCCTTAAGGACACCTAGTTTTGCTAATCAGGTGTGTAACATACTGCTTTCCCAGTAAAGAGCAGGAGAGGGCAGAGCTGATGGTATTATGTGTTGCCACAAGAGCATTCCAGTTACTCTATTTATTCACACATGTAGCTGCAGTAATGATTTGTTAATGGAAGGTCTCCTTTAGGGTGGTAATGAATTGTTTTCTGAGACATGGTGCATTTTGAGGGAAAATTCCACTTGTATCATTAGGCACAACATCAACCTTGAGCAAGCATATTTTTTTACTTCATGGCATTGTAAGCAAAGAAGAGGAAGAGTGTGTTCCCCTGTGCAGCGTAAAGATCTTAAGCTTTCCCCCAGCAGCATGACATGCTACGAGGATGGAGTGAACAATGTCTTCCATGTGATTCTCCTATCATTCATCTTCTGCAAAGAAAGATAAAAGCAGGGGATAAAGAATTTCCTCCAGCCTCTGTCATTGTACTGCCTTAATACAGGCATTGCAACACAATGCTAATTGTGTTTTTCATAACATATACAAAGTGCTGATAATGTACACTCTTAATTACTTCTATGCATGCATTGTGTCACTTGCTGAAGAGTTTGCCAGTGGGCAAACAGGCTCTTCTCAGTGGTGCATGGTGAAAGGTACCAAATGCAAACTGAAATACAAGAAATTCCATTTAAACATAGGGTAAAAAACCTTTCACTTTGAAGGTCATCAGATGCTGGAACAGGTTGCCCAGAGAGGCTGTGGAGTGTCCATGCTTGGAGATATTCAAAAGCCAATGGAACATGGTCCTGAGCCGCCTGCTCCAGTTGAGCTTCCTTGGAGCAAGAGGGTTGAACTAGACCATCTCCAGAAGTGCCTGCCAACCTCAGCCCTTACTGTGGTTCTGTCTATTGTAAAGCATCTAGCTTTAAGCATTTAGTGTACTTAAGATGCATTTGGAAAGTTCTGATGGCTGTCAGAATGTTCTGAAAAAATAAATATATACCTGTCTGGAGTATCCTGTCATTTAAAAAAAACCAAAAGGGACATTGATTCTGCTGCTATAAAAGGATTTAATTTCCAAAGATTAGGGTCATTTACTATGCATGCTCAAAGCAGTGTAGATTTATTATTATGTATGAAGTTAAAATACATATCATTCTTAATTGTTTATAGATATAGAATAATTTATATCTTCCAGATTACATTAACTTAACTAAATCATTTGGGTCTCATTAACAATAAATGAAAGGAGGCAGGGTTAAAGAGTAATGTTAAGTAACTTTCCCTTTAGGTATACTTCTCAGTCCTTTCTTTTAGAGTTGAAACTAGAACTTGAATTGGTTTGGGTTGAGACCATAATTAAAATTCTCAACACTGATACATTTCCGTACAGAATTCCTTCCTGACAGATTATAAACTGGAATTTATCGTTATCTTTTTAAATGAAATGTTATCATTGTGTTTTATTAGGAAACTGGTACTTTAGCTTTCTCTGCTTGGTTTGTTTGTGGGTTGGGACTGATTCTGACTCTACAAGATAGAAATAGTATTTCTGTCTGTTGAAGGTTGTGTTTAATCAGCTCTTTCGATGTCAGTGTTCTGTTTCTAAACTTACAGTTGCTTTTGATGCTAGATGAGGATTGGTGTGCATGCAATGTATGTGTGAAAGTGTGATCAATAAGTTCTTGGTGCCCAACGTCAATGTGATATATTTTCTTTATTTTTATTGTTTGTAAGGAATGTAACATTTCATTACAAAAGGAGCAGCTTAAGTTACTTTGGAGGGGTTTGCTCTGTGTCCAGAGGAGTAGGAGTAAATGAGGTAATTTTTTTTCATTACTAAAGTGAAATAAAATGGAAACTGTACATTATAATGCTACAGTTTATATGTTTCAGTGTTCAGGGCTTTAAAGTTAACTTACATACTAGAAAGTTAGTATTCTCAGAGCCAACCTTCTTGTGTCATTATTAAACTACTGCTCACTGTGCTTTTCTTTTTATAAAGCATTCCTCCTGACTGCATTATTCTCTTAATATTTTAAATTGGCCTGTACTATATTTGACAGAAATTTAGATCCTGAAATCTCAGACAGGAGTGTTTGAAATACAGCACTGAACATCCTTTTGGGTCTTCTCGCTCTAAGAGGCTTGATCTTCTGAGGTGCTGCTGACGTGTAATTCTTACTGATTTTTTTTTGACACCAAAACTAGAAAAAATTTGGTCCCTATGTATTGGGGTTTTTATTTTTTCCCCTCAGTGCAGTGTTAAATCAATAATGAAAATCTCCTGTTTTAACATGGGTTAATCATACTGTACACAACTATATTCCATATATATCAGACTCCTTTCTGTAGGTTAACCAGCAGACAGGGATTCCCTCAGGATAAGAGAGGAAAATCTTTTCTGTTACGTACTTCATTGTGTTTATTTTCTTTATATGCACACAGAATTGTGACTACATGTATAGAATTACTGAAGTAGTAGGTATGTGGTAAGCCAGAATGAGCTGGTATAGTGTAGTGTTCATTACAATAACTTAAGTTTTCTTTTCTTTTCTTTTATTGCACTTTTCTTGAAATGCAGTATGGCCTCCCTTTGGCCATGGCACAGGAACTAGCACAAAGTCTTGCTCAGAACCTTGGAATACAATGGGAGCCAGCTGCCAGGAAACCGAGTATGTACATGGGCATGGACTCTTCTTTTGTCCTCCTGAGCTAAGATATAAACTTATTCTTTGTAATATTTGAAACAAATTCCAAACTTACTGTAACTGTAGAAGAAGAATTACTGCTTTTGGAAATACATGCACCAAAATTTGAGTTTGACCAAAATAGGAGCTACCAGTTTAGCACTCATTTTGCAATGACCTCAGTAATGTCCTGTGTCAGGAAGTTAGGTTTAATAGAAAAAACACTATTAATTTAATTTGGAGCTCCTTATCTATCATCACGAAATCTGTAATTCCTATAGAACTATCGTTGACTTCTTAAAATAGAAAAATACCTGATTTATAATTGAAGAAAGGGTAAGAAGCTGTAAGCTAGTCCAGGGTGACATTTGCTCAACTTGTTATCTTGCTGAAGATTACAGCCAGAAGATTAGACTGATGTGGCCTTAACACATCTAGAGTGTAGGTAAAAAAGCTGCTGCAAAAGCTCTTTTGGGGGCTAAAGAAAATTGTTGTGTTTTTCCACTCACATCTTGTAAGAAATGTGGCTACTTCCTCTCTTTGTTTCTTCTTTAAAAAAGTGAATGATAATACTGACTTTATTTTGGAATAATTCAGAAATCTGTGAATTAGGAAACAACGTGGAAAAGTCTAGGGAATGTTGTTTAGTAAAGCATCAATTTTGAATTGTGTAAACTTGCAACTTGTTAAAAATATTTTCTGTATCATTGGTTTTTGATGACAGGTAGAACAAAGTTCATATAATTTGGAAATCAGAATCTTTTTTAACTGTAACAGAGAAGTTTTTAAAATGATAGCTTAGTTTCCTTATTTGGATGCCCTTTATAGAGAAAGATCTAAGACCTGGGTAGAGCAGGAATAACCACATAAATAATCTCCGAATATTTTCTGTGGAGAAACAGTGTGGATTTGCAGTAGTAACTAGAATGCAGAACCTTTCTTGAAAATATTACTTCTTTGGTAGGTAATTTTTATGGGTAGTTTGTAAATTCTGTTTTACCAACCATAACATATTGATCTTTTGGTTTTAGTTTATGAATTTAGTCATGACTTACATGCTATAGCTGTAAGTAAACTGTAAATCCATTTTCACTCAACTACTTTTTCTAATGAATTTTTGATTGGCTAATTCACATATTACTATTAATAATTCTATGCCAAAGGGAAAAAATGTGGCCTGTCTAGTAACAATTCTCCTTCAGGGTGTTCTGTCTCTCCAAGCAGTCTGGTTTCCTTTTTAGGGCTAGAATCTGTACAGCCAAGCAACCATCTGATCTTTGTAAAATTAGTCAAGGTCCATTTTTATAGTGAGTACTTTATATTTATTGTAAGCATATTTATAACTTCTTTCCTTTTCTGTTGTATTTTGGTCTTGTCTGAGAAGAGTGTGACTGCACTGAATCCTGGGGTGGTTGCATCATGGAGGAGACGGGGTATGTCATAACTATCAGTAATTGAGAGCTCTGGAATGAGTTCATAGTTTACATTATGACATAAATATTTATGTATTGGGTTTTGTCCACGTGGTTCAGTACTAATAAATTAAAATCTAAAAGCAGTTGGAACAACCCAAATGTACAGATCAATGATTGCAATTTTCAGCAATTCATTCCCTTTGCTATTCACATTTTAGGAAGTTTTATTAATAAATCTTGTATTTTGAAGTGTAGTGCAGTGTATTCACTAATGCTTTGCTATACTTACAATGATTGAAAAATAAAGTATGTATATTTTTCATTAAATAAATCCAGTTACACTTTTTACATGCAGCTGAAAAAGTGTTACAATAGTTTCTATAAGCGATATTTCTATTTTACTCCTAAATTTTAATTATTTTTCCCCCGATTCTGTCAGAATTCTAATTTTGAGTGAACAGATCTCTCTGCTTCTGTTCCAGTGAATAAAAGTAGAAACCTGAAGCTTTCAGCAGTGCGCTCAATCCTGAGCTAAATGGTCAGTGAAGTCTGAGGGGGAAGCACATCTATATGGGAAGAAACCAGGTTGCATTGCCCTCTACCATCACACACTGCCAGAGATTCTTTTCTCTATACTGTAAGCAATTGATTAGAAAAGGACAGCTTCTGAACCATGCATTTTTTGAGTCTTATAAATCACTTCATGTCAGAATTCTTGCTCACTGTGGAAACTTGGTTGCAAAAATCATGGAGAAAATTAGTTATAACTAAGATAGAAGGGGCTTCATTTCTTCATATGGTATTTGGAAATTGGTTCTTCAGTAGAATTAATGTGTGGCTTTCCTGTAGACTTATAATCGTCAGCCACTGTATGAATGCCAACAGAAAATTATTCAGTAAGTTTGCTTCTGGAATCCGAAGTAAGACATTGATCAGAATAGATACTAGCTTCCTTCCTATGGAGAACTCATCAAAGTACCAGTCTTGGAGGGAAATAACAGTAGAAGAGGTTGTGGAACAAACCTCTTCTGTAGAGTAAAAAAAAATGCCAGGAGCAGATGATAGTCACCCAGAAGCTGAAAAAAGACTGACTAATGAAATGAGTGAATAATTAACTGCAGCGTAAAACCTTTTCACTTAACTCCATCAGTGCTAGAAGACATTTTTTATATATAGAATAATTCAATGGATAAATATCAGCTCAGTAGCAGTGAGCTGCCAGGAAAGGAATGGAGAACCTCCTTATGGCATGGTTACCCCCATCTTTAATAGTGTGAATAGTTCTCATTCCCAGATCTCAAAACATGGCTAATAAAAATATCAGGCAGTTTCTGTGTGAGAAATGACTAATAAACTATGTTTACATCAGGCTGGGAAAAAGATGGAGATGAGGAAACATAAGAGAAGTTTGTAACATCATGAACAACGTAGCAAAGGATTACTGTTTTTTCCAGTGAAAGAACTAGGGAGACATGAAATGAGACTAGCAAATAGGTGACAGAAAAAAACAGGATGAAATTATTCTTCTACCAGTCTGTAACTAAGCTGTGAAACTTCTTGCTATAGCATCTTGTAGATGCTAGAAGATTTGGGGGAAATTCATGGGAGAAAATACAATGAAGATCATTAAATAAGACAAAATAAGGCTTCCCGAGAAAGTCATTCAGCTGAAAATTACTAGAAAGTGGAAAAATATTCTGCAAGTCATTGTACAGTTCTTTGTTCTCTACTCTTCCCTGGGCATATTCTCAGGGCCAAAATCAGAGATGGGATTTGGGTAAAGTGGATTTTTAGTCTGACCCTATACAGCTGTTCTTATGGCTACAATTACTTTTACTTTAAAAATTAACCTTATTAACAGGATCAGATTAATTGAACAGTTTTAAAACCCTGGCATGAAATCAGGGATCGGGAATGTAATCCATCTTTTAAACTGAAGCTGCAGGGAAAACAAACCCAAGGGAACACTGGATTATGCATGCAATTGAGGGGGTGTATAGCAGCTATTATGATAATGTGGTTTCACCTTATTAAGAAGATTAGAAGATTACAGTTTCATATACTGTAGATCCATAGAATAGAAATATAAAAATGCAAAATGTTTAAAAACTTTCATTTGTTCTGATTTTATTGTTTGAGAATAAGACTAAGCTGACATCCTGTTGCACACAGTGGTTGTAAGAAACTGGGATTTACAGTATTAAAAAACATGTCATGAGCCCTCCACCCCCTTCCAGTAACTGTTGGTGTTTCAAAGCATTTATTCAGGTAATTTTTTTGCCATTTTAGGGTATACCATTCCAGGAAATTCTCCAAGTGCAGCATTGCAGAATACAAAGAATTTTTACTTCGTGGGCGAGGTGCCTGTCTTTTCAACAGACCAACAAAGGTAATAAATATGTTGGTAGACAGCACCTCTGCTAAACATTGTAATGAAAATGTAATAATTTTGCTAACACCTGTCTGTTCTCAAATTTATTCAAATGTCTATGTGGGTATTTTCTTGAGGTTGCTTGTAATTAGCTGACTGTTCATTCCCATAATATTTAAAAATAATGTTAAGAGGAATGCAACTTGTTTTCCATCAATTCTTCATGCTCAAATAATGACAAATATTGCAGTTGATTTTTCACAGCTAGATACATCCCCATGCAGCATAAATGCACTACTTATTAAGCTGGAAGTAGTGAAGAATAAATTCAGAAGTGAGGTCATAGTGCATGCTCACAATTCTTGGACTTTTTGCCTGAGGGTGTCAATGTCAACAACCACACTAGGAATTAGAATCAGTAGGTTACTTCATATAGACAGTAGCAGCTTGTTCTTGAAGCTAATTTCATTTAATTTCAAATGTACAGCTAGCAAACTCTGTAATTTATAACTGTTTCCTTGTACTGTCCATTGCTTTTTTTGCCTAGAAACTTATCAAGGTCATAATTTTTTCTAAGGCAATATTAGCATGACATCCTTCTAAAGCTGAGTAGTATAAAAATATTCCATGTGGCTCTTTTTGCAAAGTAAGATCAATACAAGGTATCAATATTCTACTTAATCATGGTGTCAAAGTGCTGTCCTTGTAGAATTGAATGCCACATGACACTATTAGGCTGTTCTGTTTAGTGTGCTGTATTCTTTGTTAGACCACCACCTTGCACAATGAACTAAAAAAATTTTGCTTGTTAGAGTGTTTTTTAATTTTTTCCCAGGGTAGCAATCTTTGCCTATAGAGTAAGAATGTAAGAATTCTTACAGAGAAGGGTAAATGGGGAGGAAGAAAAACATAGCTTCATTTTTTGATGATGGTTGTTACTTTTGGGGGGTGTGTGCTTTTTTGCTTTCAGCTCTTTGAAACCACTGAGTGTGGAAATGGATATGTAGAAGCAGGAGAAGAATGTGACTGCGGTTTCCGAATGGCAAGTAGAGTTATATATTACTCCACAAGTCTTTCTTACAAAAGATATTAAAATAAATTATGTTACTGTTAAGGGAGGGGGAAAGGTTATGGAAATGAATTTGTTTTGCCTATTGTTAGGGAACAACTTCATTAAAGGACTGTTAAAACATTTTTTTCAAGTGAGAATGAGTGCAAAGACAGAGAGTGTCCTCAAAACAGTTCCTGTTGTACTAATGAGAAGATGTAGATGTTTCCCAGCAATTTCTGAATTGCAGTGTAGAAGTGCTTACCCCTTTACTTTTCCTGGATAGTGTGCCTGGAGTGGTAGGCTCCCTATATACACTTTGGAGATAGATGCCTGTGTTCAGACAGAATAAGTAAACTGTTGTTTTTCTCTATTGTAGAAACATTCCAATAATGCTTTTGCAAAAATCTGCCCTGTAGATTTGAGTCCTAGTACTTAAATATAATGCACCCATAATTGGTTTTCTTAATCTTTTTTCTGCATTGAATGCAATTTGACTAAGCAGCATGCATTTGGCACAAGCTATTCCACACCTGTGAAGAGGCTTCAGAAAGTGTGAATCCCCTCGTTGCTATCTGATATATGTCACAGTTTTCCCTTTACTTTAGTATTGAGCATTGCAACGGATTCTTCCATCTGATAATTTCAAGTCATCAGTGTTGAACTGAATCTTTTGTCTGCTGCTACATAATAGTTTGTTGGAAAGATTGTGAAGAATAAAATTGTTTGAAATGGAAAACTAAAAATTTCGCTTAATATTTTCTTTAGGAATGCTATGCAGACTGTTGTAAGAAGTGCTCTCTTTCTAATGGAGCTCATTGCAGTGATGGACCCTGCTGTAATACATCATGTCTTGTGAGTGTTGCTACAGTCTATCTATTGTTGTTTTCAGTTGTCCATGGAAGTCATGTGCAGCCTGTTGTAGTTCAAAGTGTAGTTTATGCACAATGAAAAGGAACAGTTTATGTAGACATAAGCTTAGTCCTGAACTATATGCTTCATGTTCTAGTTTTTTCCACGAGGCTATGACTGTCGATATGCAGTGAATGAATGTGATATAGCAGAGTTCTGCACTGGAGATTCTGGCCAGGTATGTATGCAGAAGCTTTCTCTGCTTACACTACTGATGTTTGTTTGCACTCATACCAATTTAAAAGGAAAATCCAGATTAACAAACTGCATACTCATGTACGCAAAATAACTGTGGGGAGTTACTTTTTCAGCCTAACAAAATTTTTTAAACATAACAATAAGCAATCATAAGCTCAAAAAAAAATTAATGTAAGTGGACTCAAAATACAACTTCTGTAGATTTGTTTTTTAAAATTCGTAGGGTTTTGTGTATCTGTGCAGTATTTGTGTCAGACACCCTCCTTTATTCTTTGCCTGGTCTATAACATAAGTACTAAGAATATACTGCAAATGTTAATAGATTCAAGGGTAATAGCAGTAAGATTTTATGAAATAGTTTAAAATATAAATGTAGAAAATTGTAACTAATTGAGTGTAGAATCATAGAAGAATTTAGGTTGGAAAAGACCATTAAGGTCATCAAGTCTAACCATTAATGTACCACTGCCAAGTCCACCACTAAACCATGTCCCTGAACATCATGTCTACCCGTCTTTTAAATACCTTCAGGGATGGTGACTCAACCGCTTCCCTGGGCAGCCTGTTCCAATGCTTGATAACGCTTTCACTGAAGAAATTTTTCTGAACATCCAATCTAAACCTCCCCTGGTGCCACTTGAGGCCATTTCCTCTCGTCTTATTGCTTGTTACTTGGGAGAAGAGACCAACACCTACCGCGCTACAACCTCCTTTCAGGCAGTTGTAGAGGGTGATAAGGTCTCCCCTCAGTCTCCTTTTCTCCAGGCTAAATAACCCCAGTTCCCTCAGCCACTCCTCGTAAAACTTGTATAAAGTGTTATGGTTTTTAAAATTTTAAAATTTGTGGATCTTATGCATTTCTCTTGAAAACATCTGGCTAATACTCAAAAGTATAGGAATAAACAGTAACCAGAAGGTTGTTTGAACTTGAATTCTTTTAAATAGTCAACATTCCATACATCTTCCATTTTCACAGCAACTTCGACGCTTTAGGTGATACATGCTCCTTTTCAATACTGAGTATTTAGCTTCAAGGTTATATAAGAACTTCTTAACTCTGCTGCAGTCATCTACTACATCAGGTCCTTAACTTTGAAGAAATAAGATTCAGGATAGATCACATCTCTCTCTGGGCATTGGCTGTAATTATAGATGCCAATAAATTAACAGTAACCTCTTTTTCTATTATCAACTGAGACATCCACACTTACAGATAGGTATCTATTGCTGAGATTTTATTGTAAATCTTTTATTCTGTAGATGGAGCATTCTTAATGGGAGGGAGAAAGGCTTGCTTAAGCTAGAAAGGCTGCCCTCAAAGTATTGTCTAATACGGTACACTGCAGCAGTGTACCCTTTCCAAATCTTCACATGTCCCTTTTTGATGAGGAAAACCTTTGAGAATGGTCTGCTCCTAGCTTTAGTAATCTGAGGCTTCTGGGCCTAATGACTTGTTCGTACCAAAAAAGTTTCCAAAGGCAAGAGAACATGACAATATCATAAAATACCTCACGGCTCTGTAAGCAAGATTGGTAGGCTACAACTAGATGTTTGCTTACTTTCTTAGTGGAACTGAAATGAACACATTGGCAGTGTTGCAAACAAGGTCCCAGTATTAGCTACATATTGGAATATGCAGAAAGTTAGAATCAAACCTTGTATTTCATGGTGGTGATGTTCATTTTTTCATTTGTATTTGTAGCTATAAAGATTCCTGCATGAATTATGTTATCTACCCCCTTTGTATGTTGTGCAATTGTTTTTTACAACTGGGAAAATTTCATCCATTTGATCCTTAGATGTATAGTTATAGTACACATGAAAAAAAACATTCTTAATTTTTTTCAGTGTCCACCAAATCTTCATAAACAAGATGGGTATGCCTGTGATTCTAATCAGGTATGCAATGTTTTAAAATCCCTTTACATCAGCAAGTAGAAATCAATCAAATACAAGTTTTCTTTTTTTTTTTTCCATTCTGTCTTCAGACATCAATGTTGCTAGTGCTTTATTCACTCTATGAATAGTAAAAATGTCTACTTTGAGTAATATCTGCTTGGTATCTTTGTTTTACACATAGATTTTTTTATTACACTCCATGTTAATAAGTTCTTTACAACTATGTAAATGAGATGTATAAAGCAGCTGCTGAAATGTTGGTACATGTTAGACACCAACTGACCAAAATGTTTACGCTGTCTACCCAAATTTATGAAAGCTACTATACATCCCAATATGTGTGTGAGGAATCAAAATGAGACATTTGTTGGGGGAGGGGAAGGAAATGAAACAGTGTTCAGTTCTCATTGTTAACATGTTGTGTTTTGTTTAGGGTCGTTGCTATAATGGTGAATGCAAGACAAGAGATAATCAGTGCAAATATATCTGGGGATCTAGTAGGTTGGCTTTAACTACCTTAAATGTATTTTATTTCTGGTTCATTCCTGCCTTTGTTTTGTATTTTTAGTATTTTTATTTCTTATTCTTGCCACTGTAAGTTAAAGTTTTCTGCCTAGTAGAGTCAACTGCAGTGAGAAACTGTGGCTTGATTGCCAAGTGAAATTTTGAGTTTGGGGGTGATGACTGTGAGATTGTTCTGACGTGATGTGATTGCAGACATAGGTAGGGCAGCAAATGCTGGACTCTGGTGGAATTAGGTGAGAAAACGTAAAAAATATTGGCAACTTTGTGTTACTCTTACCAGGGAGAAAAAAATGGGTTAGAGGATTTTTTTGATATAGTTCAAAACAGATGGGTTTGGGTTTTTTAATGACAGTTGTCAATTCCATTATCCCAGCAGTAGTTCATTCTAAAGCTGCTCCACCTTGCCTCTTTGCTATACCATCCTACAAGTCAGGAAAATTAGTACATTGGTATGAATTTAAATATGCACAGTACAAATTTAAGCCCAGAGGTGTTGATTAAAATAGAATTGCTGTGGATTTCCCTTGCAGCTGAGAGGGCATAAATGCTCTGTGTAATGACTTTGAGACAGTTCAGTGGAGCAGAACTATCAAGCTGTCCTGTACTCTTGCACTTTTGTCTAATCACAACTGCCATTGCTGACACTGCCTATTTGAGGCAGAAGAATCATTCCATTCTAGGGAAGATGGGAGGGATATAGTTTTACCATTTATTGTTTGTCTTGTACAATTCAAAAGATGCTATATAAGTGTAAAATTGGATGGAGACAACATTTTCTTTGTCTTCTGATGCCTTTTTGAGCTTTATGTTGCCACCTCCCATTTATTGATAATACTAAAGGCAATAGATGTTTTTGTTAACTTATTTCTTTGTATCTCACACATTTATATTGTAAAATATTTGGTTTGTCTTCTGTACAAGTGATTTTACTGAAACTACTCTGTCCTGTTTACCTTTAATATTTTATCTTCCTCTGTATAATTGTTGTGCTTTTTTTCTTTCCCACTGTAGTCACTGGAAAATACCATCTGTGTACATACACATGTGGTCAGATTTCTGTTTTGTATTAAAAAAATACAGATAACTGCTGCAATAAATTACGCAGGTTTTCAAAGCTTTCGTGTTGCCAGTGGAAAGTACATTGCTTTTTCCTTTCTTCACCAACAGAGTCTTCCGGATCTGACAAATTTTGTTACGAAAAGCTTAATACAGAAGGCACTAAAAAAGGAAACTGTGGAAAGGATGGAGACCGATGGATTCAGTGTAGCAAACAGTAAGTTCAGCTTTGTATAGATTATCTGTATTTTAAACAGATTAATACTGGTTTAATATTGTCTACTTTTCCATGAATGTTTCAGCAGGGGTTTTTTGCATTATTTTCAGTTTTCTTTCCCTCACAAGGTTTGCATCTTGAGAAAGTTCCATAGCTCATTCTGACATATCCGTGGGTGACTCAGCAATACACTTGTAAAGAATTCCAGATTTTCGGAAGAATGTACTGTGACTTTAATTCTTTCAGAGGAGCTGGGGGACAAGGCAGCAAAAAGTCACAAGTTCGTAATATACAAACACCTTAGACTTGGTAGGGAAAAATTAGATTGCAAATACACACGTTATTTTTGCTTGCTCTGGGATTGATATCAGATTATGCTATTTCAAGTTTGTTCCAACCTTTATTTTGGCCAGAGAGGACCATTAGACATTTGGATGCTATAGAGAAAATGGCTGATTCTTTTGCATGTGATCATTACTAGTTGAATACTGGATTAAATTTACTTTTCAAGTTAATGATCGTTACACTTTTCAAGTTAATAGAGACGTAAACCTCTCCTGATTTACTTACTGTTTAGTAATTTTTAAGTAGGCATGTAAAAATTTCAGTCTCGGAATGGTGTTTTCCTTCTTTGACTCGCTGATGTTTGTCAAGTAGCATTTTTTTTTTTTTAATTACATGATTCGCTTTTCAGATAGGATCATAAGCAAATAAATTGTTTAATGGATTTTTTATATTTAGAGCAGCGTTGTTCTGATATGTGTATTAAAAACCTCATTTGTATAAAAGCTTGGTTGGTAGAGAGATGCAGAAAAATGGTCTAGCTGAAAGGCAATTTAAATTTTTTGCAATTTTAACAAATACAATTTCTAGCATTTATCCAGCTGCTTCTACAACTATAATGCAGATAATACAAATAAAACAGATTCTTTACCAAAATTCAGGCATGCACACTGTATGCTAACGATTGTTATTATGGTTCTGTTGTCCTGCAAGGGCAATAAAATACAATTAAAAATTCAAACTTCACATTAATGTATAGCATCCAAGCTGCTAGAGAGAGGGAAAAGTAATTTAGCCTGATATGACAAAGCTTGGTACAATTCAGCTCCTCTTAATTGTACTGTATTTTATTTAGAGCACAGATAAATTTTTTGTTGATGTGAACATTCACTGGTGCATTGGAACAAATGATTACTTGTTTCTGCCTCTTGTCATTCATATCAAATAATATTTTATTTCCAGACTTGCACTCTGAAAGTCTATCATGCGGCTCATGGTAATATATTACTTAATGTGATCAGCAGCATCATTGCCAGTCTTTCTTTTTTGTAAGTTTACTTCATATTATTCCAGTAACTTTTTGATTTATGTTTTTCATTTTACAGTGATGTTTTCTGTGGCTTTTTGCTCTGTACTAATCTTACTAGAGTTCCCCGAGTTGGTCAAGTTCAAGGAGAAATTATCCCAAATTCTTTTTATCATCAAGGACGAATAGTGGACTGCAGGTAAAAGATAATGCAGCGTTCCAATATGATTTTGCTTTGTCAAACCTAATTGAATTAAGGTAAACATGAATGTAAAATTGTATGATTTTTAGGTAACTAACGTCTCATAGCAAAATCATTACTCTGAGTGGTATTTCTTTTGATTAAAAAAAAAAAAAAGTCTAATATTCTACATTTAAAGAGCGTGAAATGTGGATTATCCTCCTGATTACTCTATCTGGTCTCTCCAGTAGCAGAACTTCACAGTCAGAGTTTAATGCTCAGCATTATATTTTTTGGGGGGAGGAAGTCTGTAATTGCCAAAGACCCATAAATTAAACATAGTGGTTTTGTGTACTGTATCCTCGGAGAAATAGCTGTAGGGAAGTGCAGGCTGAGAGGGAGGAAACTGAAGACTTGTGGCAGGATGAGATATTCAACTACAGTTCAGTTAAAGGGCAGGTAAATGGGTTTTATTCTACTGTGCACAATACTGGCTTTGTATTTTAAAGACATTGGCAACATTGCTGTCATGATAAGAATATTCTCTTACATAGGTCCTCAATGAACAGTGATTCTTAACTCTTCTATTATTCCACTAGTATTTTTATTTAAATGTCATCCCGTGGGAAGGGGGTTTTTTAACATTTTTCTAGCAATAATATTTCACAGTATGTGGGGGAAAAAAAAGGGGGCGAAAAAAAAGAAAAAAGCATGGCCCATTGAAGACTGTTAAAAAACTCTCAAAGCCTAAGGTGCCCTTTTTAAGTACTTTAAGTCATTATCTAGACTTCTTTTTAGTCTGACAACTGGAACACCTTGTCAGTGCTGTGGATGGGCAGAAAAACTTTATAATTTTGTTCAATCTGTCTGTATGCTTGAATGAGAGAAAGGTATCAGGCTTTTAGTGTCTACACTAACATGTTTAATATTTTCAAAAGACTCCAGCCATAATACTAACAGTATCTCAAAACTTGTTTCTCCTAGTGGTGCTCATGTTCTTTTAGACGATGATACAGATTTGGGTTATGTGGAGGATGGAGCTCCATGTGGACCTCACATGATGTGTCTGGACAAAAAGTGCCTGCCAATTCAGTCCTTGAACATAAGCAGCTGTCCCATTGGTTCTAATGGAAAAGTCTGTTCTGGTCATGGGGTGAGTCTGTACTGGGAGATACCAGCTAAGCTTCTCCAGCTATCTCTGCTACATCTGATCTTAATGTACCCTGTGGAGTTGTCTACCTGAAAGTGTTCTTAAGACCTGTTGATCTGGAAACACAAATGTTAGATTCGGGGGAAGACTGCCATTCTGTGAAGCACAGACACAATTTTAGAAAGCAACATTGTCAAATTAGTTCTGTAGTTACATCCAAAATGTTGTTTTCATTACTAGCAAAAAGGAGCTTTGACATCACTTAGTGTAGAGAATTCTGTAATGTACTACCCGTGTTTCAAGCTACTTACCATCTTCAGTTAAACTTTTTCCAGCAAACTAACACCTTTATAAAGTTGGTCCTGTGTTTATGGAGTTATACCTTGTGACTTAATTAAAATTTGAAACTGTTGGACCCCAACAGAGATGATACATTCTTCTTGAACAGATGCAAAGTGTATCATTTTACATTCAGGCACATTATATTGTGTTATTCTACCCATAAGCCTGTTTGTCTGAGACGTAGGGTGTGTTTTGATGAACAGATTCACTGTTCCATGTCTTAACTGATACTGATAAAGTATTGATAAAACCTTTCCACTGTGGGATTCAGTGGACAGATACTTGCCTAAGAAGCTGGGTTTTTTCCTTCTTGTTATGTGTAATTGAAGATGAATTTGAGTGCTTCAAAGAGGAGGAATAGGTTCAAAATCAAGAAGAAAAAATTTAAAATTGGAAAGTAAAGGATCTAGGAGATCTAGAAATTGTCTTGGTACTTTTGGAGAGTGGCGTGAGTTGGTGAGAGAACTGTGTCACCTTTTTTGTTTTGCTTTGGATGATTCTGATTCGTAATTTTAAAAGAATACTTCAGTTGATCAAGCCTGCCGTAAGATACATTTGTCTTCACCTTCCTAGGTAAGATATTTCAGTGAACACTTTAAGAAGCAGAGTGAGATAAAAGTTAAATTAAAAAAAATCACATGCACTACTTACTTGTAATCATTAGTGTGTAGGTTATTTTCTGGGTTTTTTGACATTATGTTCCAATGTCCAAAAGACATTATTAGCTGATGTCTAATGATTGACTTGACTTCTAGTCCCACAATCAAAACTTCATTCTTTGTTTTGTGTCTGTTGCTCGTGTCATGTTTTTTCCTTAATAACCTCTTCTAGCAACATGTTCCATGTGTTCCATTCTTTTTCATGTGGAAATTTTATAGCTATTGACTGTCACTATTGATTTAATATTTTAGGTTTTGTCAGTTGGATAGGTTTTCCTGTATCTGATAAATGTACTGCCAATTTTAGTGAGACCTAAGTCCTTTTTTAGAGGTCATTCAACTAAATGTAGACTTAGGAAGAACTATTTCCTCTCTTTCTGGAGGATAAGCAAGCACTGCTCATTGCTGCTTAGAAAAAAATGATGACAAAACCAATAACAGTCCTACTATTTTTTCTACATGGGAGCAAGCTGTAAATGAGAGATTGTAAAGCATGACCATGTCTTGAAAATTTTAAACACAAATGCTTGTATCCCTTCTGGACATCCAGGCTCAAAGTCTAGGTGGTTGGTTAGTGAAGACCTAAGTAGTCTAGATGGGGAGTTTTTCTGGATGAGAGTTTCTATTATTTTTTACGCCCTATGCAGGGCTGTGCAAGTGATGATGGGAGGGAACCACTGGGAACGCTTCTGCTTTTCATAGCATCTGAATGTATTTAGAGCGTTAAAGCAAACTTTCAGGTTACTGATGTATTATTCTCAAGTCATTGCTATTGTTACAATATATAAAAGGGTATGTTTTATCCTATGAATTAAATACCTAATTACATGTTAAATAAAATTAATAAAATGTAGTTAAAAACCAACTGCTGTCATTTATTTTCTTTTCCAGGTTTGTAGTAATGAAGCGACTTGCATTTGTAATTTCTCCTGGGCTGGGACAGACTGCAGTATTGATGATCCTGTCAGGGATACTGGTAGCAAGAAGGATGAAGGACCCAAGGGTTTGTGTGATTTCAGTTTTGATGTTCTTTCAAGTATTTATGATGTTTTTCTGTTGATACATGGTAGTAGAATTAGCATATAGAAAGACAATAATATTGTGCAGTCCTGCTTAGACCCAGACAGTAAAATTCTGCTTCATGTAGATGAAGTAAGTCTTTCTGCTTTGAGAATTGATGAAAGTTTTATTTTTCTAATTTAAATTTGGAGAAGATTTCAATAGGTAATGGTATGTACTTTCTGGTTTTTCCTTCATTCCTTGTTCTCTATTTTTTACGATAGTTTTCTTTGTGATTGGAATCTGACTAAGTATAGCTCTTATTATTTATATGATAATTGTGTATTTATGCTTTAGTAGAGATTTCCAGTTCCCTTAGTTCTCAGCTAATTTAGAGAGCTGTGGTGTAAAAAAGGGAAAAGTGGAATGTCCCTGCTGAAAAAAGCTTTGATTCTTTAAAATCAGATTTCAATGGGAGGAAAAAGAAATAAATTAAGATTTTAAGGACTCACATTATTCTTATGACTGTTATTGCTTACTCTTATGTATTTAGTAGTTATTTCAACTACATATGACATATAAATACAAAGAGGAGCTATTGAGGAACTAATTAATCAAAAAAGTTTTTCAAAGAGGAAGAAAAGCACCTAAGATTCTCTCTGACTTCTCTGCCAAAGAATGTCTTTGGATTGAGCTGTCCAATTTTTTTGTGTCTTTCCTGTCATTGGGATATTGTCCAACATCAGACTATATTTATCCAGTGTTATGCATTTACAGATAAAGTTCCCAATAAACAACCGAGAAACGCAAAGTTTTTCTGCTATGTCCCAGTTCCAGGTCCTTCTGTCCCTTGTACATGGAAAGAAGATAGAGTTGTTTAAAAACGTAGTCCTTAGAGCTCGGACTCTAAACTCTTTAAAATATCCAAGGTTTCAAGGGAGGACAGGATTTTGGTATGTCCCTCCAGAATGGCTCTACTTCTGTCCTTATTCTTTTGCCCCTTAGCAGAATGGTTCCAGCAGACCTTTACCAGGAACTGTTGAAGGAGATTGTCTTAAACCAGGCTACCACTGTGAAGGAGGCTCTCTAGAACAGCCCAGATTTGTATTAGGGAATCTGTGCAGGTGCTTCCTGGTCTCCTAACCCCACCACTGTTCAGTGTAGAGCTGCCTGGTTTGTACCCTGTCTTGCAAAGCTACTCGTCATTCCATTTCTCATAAAAACCTTCCTAACTGAGGAACGCTGCTTACAGAGTCTTAAAAAAACTGGTAGAGAACAGCACTATAGACCTGGTTACTTCTCTTTGTGTGTGGATGAGGAGAGCAGTATCTACAGTTGTGACACTGAGAGTAAGGGAATATTATATTGCCTATCTCCAAATCCTGTAGGTGAGAAATAATTCCCTCCTCTGCAGAAAGGTCTATAGGAAAGGCAACATAGAAGGTATACTTATCTTGGTTAGATTTCTGTAATTCAAATTAACTCATTGAATTCAGAATGGAAATACCTTTATGAAAATGAATACAATGTTGAAATATTCTGGGGAAAAGTCTCAAATGAATAGTATCTGCATGGATTTCTGCCAGTAGGTACAGATGTAAAGTTTAGACTGCATTTTTCAGTGGAGTCTCCTGCAAAAATGCAGAATATGTTTTTGTACAAGGTGGCTCAATGATTTCAAAAGATGGATTATTTTTACTTATGTTGTTATAGTAATTTATTGATGTTGAAGCATCCAGAAATGAATTTACGAGCCTGAACACTGAGAGCTACTATAATCTCTTTTGGTGTGCTAATAGAGGAATTGCTTTGTGAGAAGTTCTCAGAAGAATATAGAAGTAGTTTTCTGTATCGTGAAGATCGAACGTAGTAAAGTGGTTTCCATTAAGTTTTTTCCCCTTATTACCAGTACTTCCTATGTCATATGCCACTGTACAAGCCCAAGACAGAAACCAAAACACTTGTTTTTCCTTAGCCCTAAATTTGAGTTTTGTTCCATTTCAGAAACAGAACACTCATGATGTGAAAATTCACCTAAATAGATTTAAGGTTTCACACCATAAATCCAAGCATTTTTCTTACTACAATTACAGCACGTGTAGCTAGGAAGTATTGCTATTTATGTATATATTATGATAATTGTCAGTTGACTGCTACTTCTGCTGCACTTCTTGGACCTTTCCATCATCCATCAATTGCTTTTGGTTCCATAATGTATTTCAGGATTTAAAAAAATGAGCGGTCCTTAATTATGTTGGTATTAATACATGAGTCTTGAATGACTCTAAACTCAGCAACCTACTGTATCCTGTACTAGCAGACCTACGCAGCATGCTAGCGGTTTCGGGAAGACAAAGAGTTCTTGCTGTTAGTTTATGGCTACTGCAGAAACTTTGAATGACTTTCAAGTGTTGGCTAGTCGTTTGGAAATTAGTAGGACTCCATATGCACACAAGATTCTTCCTTTGCAATTTCATTTGCAGAATTAGGCCTTTGTTTGACTAGTGGAATGGTGTTTGGTTTTTTAATACAAAACTTGTCTCAAGTGTGTGTGTGTGTTTGTGTATATTTATGAAACAGGCAAAAATTATGAAACTGTTTCAAACCAGACTTTATACAGCATGAAGACTATGAAGTTTTTGTCCCGTGAAAAAGTTCCCATTAGACAGGGAATTCAGCTGCTTGTTTGTGGTCTGTTATGACTCAATGAATCTATCAAGCTTTTAATCTTTAACATAGGAAATGTATAAATGTTTTTTTCTCAAAAAAGCTTCCTTAAAAAATGAAAAATAAGGCCTCAGTGTCTTAAGAGAGACTCTGAACATACTGAAATTTCCAGGGTGTTACGTGAAGCACATTTCTAGGGTAGGTTTTTCCGTTTATAAGGTGTTATCTGTCTTTAGGTCATATAGATAAATAGAGAGTCCTATTGATAAATGCAGTAAAAAAAGGAAAATATTACTAACCGGTAATGAATTAAAAAGTTGGGTTTTTTTCTCTTCCTGCAATGGAACTGTTTCCAGACAAACAGTTTTCATTTGCTCAGTTGTATTATGGATACAGTAAGTCTCTGGTGATCAAAAGGAATTTTTCTTATTGGTGATTTGTTTACATTTTGGCTGTTTTTAAATAAGCAGTAGGTTGAGGATGTTCCCTTTTAAAGTAAATAATATAATCACAAGCTAAAAGGAACAGTCTTATATTTACAGGAAAACTTGTCATTGAAATATTTGTACACATTCAAAGAAAACCAAATATAGGTCATTTCAGGATTTTTAAAGCTATGGTATTTTGTAAATAAAGGTTTGTCAGGAGGTTTGAATTGTTTATCCGATGATGGATTATAGTGTAAAATATTCCTTTGAGGAATTATTTCATGTTTTCATTTCCAACATATATGTGATCATTTCCTTAAAAAATCTTCCCTTTTCCCTCCACACAGTGAGCATGGCCACTAACAGGCTAATAGGTGCAGTGGCAGGGACCATTCTGGCCTTGGGGGTGATTTTTGGAGGCACAGGGTGGGGAATAGAGTAAGCATTTTTCTTAGTTCAAGTTTTATGTTTGGTGCCTAGTGTGTGAGGTAACCGTATGCACCCGAGCCCTCTGTGTATTATCCCATTAGCTTTGTCATGTGGTGACTGTATTTGTCGTGTGATTTGACCGTGTCTGTGTCATGTGATTTGCTCATGCAGTGTTGAACCTTCTCCTGTCTGGGATAATGTGGGGCATAAAACAATAAGTTTGTGAATTTTTACATTGTCACAGTAAAATTAAATGTCTAAATGTTTCCATTACACCAAATTATAAAAACAATGGGAAGAAATGGAAGTTTGTGATTGTTTTGCAAAATAGACTGAGTAATGTGGACCATTTCATAAAATGCAGAAATTGTTTATTGTGATCTGTGGGGCTTTCAGTCTAGTAGTAGGTGACACGATCTGGCTAAGAAGATGAGAGCGGATGATAATAGTATAGACAGCTGGTTTTATAGGAAAGCTTCTGAATGTTCTGCTGCTAGGATTCTCTCACCTCAAGGCAATAGAATGCTGAAGTATAGAATTCATAGATAAAGAATACATATGAAGGTAATAATAGATCATCTACTTGAAGAAGACCACATGCGTGTTTTACTGGTGGCTTTTACAACTGTTTGCTGAAAACTGAAGACTGTGAAGATTGTAGATGTTTGGGACCCAGAGTCTGGAACAGAATATTTATTTACATACAGGTTGAGGACCATTTGCCTTTTGCTTACGTTCTGCCTTGTACCCTTCTGTTTTCATCTTCCCTTACCTGCTGTCTCAATCCACTCAGCTCTGACCAGTGTCCCTGACCATTTGTTCTTGCTCCTGTATCCTTCTGCTCTAATTCCAGCTTTTCTTCGTCTTTCCTCTCCTCTTATCCCTCACTACCTGACTCATTCGTCTTTTCCTTTACATCCATTCTTCTTTCCTGGATCCCATCAGTGTCCTCTGGTTCCTTCAGCCACAAATGGACACTCAAGGCAAGCCACTGCTACTTTTTGTTGCTTGGCTTAAAGAAAGCACACGGGGAGCACAAATACCTTCTCTGTTCCTAATGCCCTTCAGGCCCTGGTGGCTGTTACCATCAGTGGCTGCAGGGGAGGTTGTGTTCATCACAACGTGATGCCAGGTCCTGCCCTTCCTCACCACTTCACTTGCAAATTTCTCTTCAAAATGCTGAAATAACTTTAGTTTCTTAATGCTTTATGAATTTATTTTAGTAATCATGGGGGACAAAATGGTGGAGTAGGTTGTTTTCCAGATTTCATCCTAAAATGGATACTTAGCTTTGATAACTTAAACCAGAGGATTTGGCTGGCAAAGTGACAGACCAGAAAAGCAAATATCCAACCACCACAGTGTGGTGTTTTTTACCTGCAGAACAATCTGCAGTAAACTTGCCTCTTGTGCAACTAGCAGAGTTTGAAAGCAATGCATATTAATTCTTGTAGAATCTACCTCATGATGAAGATCTAGTGAATAGTCTGAAGTTCACTGAAATTACAGGTGTGTTCTGTTTTAGCACCTTCAGTAGGATTTGTACCATCAGGGTCCTAAAAGATGTCTGGAGATGATACGATAGCCATGCTGAAGCAGGGGAGGGTGCTGTGCCGGGTGGTGTGCCAGGCGGTTACGGTGCGGTTAGTGGCAGGAGCTTCCTCCCGATAAATCTGTGTCTGCAGGCTATCGCGGTAGTATAGCAGAGGGAACAAGAATACCAGAAGTGTTGCATCTTGTAATAGTCTGGATGGAAAATGACGCCACAGTATGGTAGTTGGTAAAACCTTCCTCTGACTTTTGGTTTGCATGTCAAGTGTCCGAGTCCAGCAGCTAGAGAGGCTTATTTAGCTGAAACATATCAATTTATCCTTTTCTTCATAAATGTCACTAACTAAAATGCCCTGAGGCAGAGTGGGCTTCATACTGGTAGCAAAATTCTCATTTATTAACAATACAATTTCCATGATAAAGCTGAATAAAACATAAGGCATACATCCTTGAGGTGAGGTGTAACATGGAAAAGTTGTCCCACTGTAAGTGCTTTTATGTGCACGGTCTGTTATGGTCTTAAAACAGCTTACCAATAATCCTCTTAAATCTCTGTGTGTTGAAACTGGAATTCATTAATTGGAGGACTGCGTTCTGGTAAACAAGTGATTGCTGTTTAGTAACCATAAGTATTCCACCAGCTTTGTTTTTATCTTGAAGTCAGAAATGAGATTATAGTCTTGCTGATTCTCAGTGAAATTTTTCCCTGAATGTAGTCTTTTCAGTTTCTTTATTAGGAGAAACAGCTGTTTCTCTTCATTCATAGGGACTGCCGCTGCCAGCATACTCTGAAAGAGTTTTAAAATTATTCCAGAGGAATGGACGTGCCTTTACCCGCAGCCATCTATCATTTACTCTGCTCTTAGGCTCTCAATTCTCAGAGTCATTTGATTTTCGGGGGGGTTTTTTGTGTTAAAAATGAACATCTCTTCTTTAGTCACTGACACTTTATAAAATTGGGTCAGATCTGAAAAGTTTTTATCAGGACCCATTTATTATTTAATGTAATTTTAGTAACTTTTCTATTACGTGAACCTAATTTTTTCTATATTATCCTCTTCTGTTTAAATTTTGATTGAATTCTTCCATATTCATGGTAAATAAAACCAATATTGATCTTCTCTATTGAAAGAACAAACCACTCTTTGTTGAATGGATGTGCACTATGAAATAAATTCCACCACCACCGCTCCCCCCTGAACATTTAACAACCAAGGAACATAGTAAGAGGAGGGAGGTAAAAAAGTGGCCATTGGGTACTTCCTTACCCAAGTTGTGACTGTGTTACTTTCAGTTAACCATTGTACCTCCTCTGAGGGACGAGAGCGTTCGATGGCCAGAAAGAAATCAGCTTTAGAATTTTTCAAGGCTTCTAAAATTTATTACAGATAGAATTACTTGCTGTGTTTCCAGTCTTTCGTTGTGGGCAATCATTTGATAAAGTCCAGAGTAAGCCATAGGCCTGAGTCAGATATAGTACCTCGGTAGGCTGCTGTTGGAAACAAGCTTTAATTGGGAATGTAATGCCTGTGGAATGGCATTCATTTACCCTCCACCATGCTCACTCCTGTTGATTTGAGCCAGGTGTGACTTTACAGGTAAGTCCAAATAAGATATGTTCTTCCAAATTGTGAAAAATTAATCTTTTATTTAATGTTGTCAAACTTGTGCACTGCTCATATCTGTAAAGCTCACTGTATTTCTTTTCAGTCCAAGTCTTTTATTTGTATTCCCAAATACTCTTTGTGTAGGAATTGCAGAAAGCAATTTTTAAACCTCGGTTTTCTTTTAGCTGATCTGATCTCCAGAAGCACTGATACAGGAAGCGTAATGGATGCAGTGGAGTTAGGTCACTGCAGTAAACTTTAAAACTTAGGGCACATTCTTGTAGTGTCTGGGACCGGGCAGAAGGTTTTGTGATACCAACCTAACAGCTTAAAACTTTCAGTTGTTGCAGCTGCCCTTGCTCTTTCCTTTGCTGGTCTCTGGCCCCTCCCTTTTCTTCCTTACATTAGCCACCTGACAGTTTTCCAAGCTCAGTTTCAGAACATTTAAAATAGGAAAATTTCAATTGCTTGGTTTGGGGAGACTGGGATAGGAGGTAAGAACTGTTTTTTGAAGGCTATTCCTGGATATGTCAATGTTCAAACAAAAAGTGTGCCGTGTGCTGCAAAAGAACTGTTGGGTTGGATTCATTTTGCCTTGAGCTCACATGCAATTAGCTTTGCATCAAAGACTGCTCCATAGGAAATTTTTATACAGAGCAATTAAAATGTTACTCAAGCCTATTGTCAGTTTTCCTCCAGCCTGTGTAAACAGAGCACTTATGGGTCAATTATGAATATCTTATTTAGGTGTTCTCTTGCCCTCTTCAGAAAATTGCACAAACATATTTTGTGCTGCTGCTTTTTGTTGCTCTTTTTTCCTGCTCCACCCTTCCGCACTTTGTTGTTAAGTAGCTTCTAGGCAATGTTGAAGAGATGCTTTGATGTTTGCAAAGCTTAATGGGAATACAGCTTTTATTTCAACTTTTGTTCCTTATTATGTAGTCCTTTACTTTTGTCAAACAATTGTTTGTAAATTTAGCATTGACGTAACTGTAGGGAGTCTGGCCTCCGATTAGCAAGTGGTGCTAGATGCTCTCAGCTCAGATTAAACTATCTACCACCTCTCAGGATCTCCATGAAAAAAGTTGGGCTTTTTGATTTTTTTTTTTTTCTTCTCATTTTCTGTAGTCACAAAACATACAGCATTCATCCTTTTTCCTTTAAGTTAAGGAATTATGCACAAATACCTTAATGTTCTTCAGCTGACAGTTCATTCAGTAGATAATGGAGTAAGTCACAATGTAATTTACTGTCTAACACTAGATTTTTGTCTATGGTAGAAGTCAACATAGCACAATGCAGAGACCAACAGCTTTGTTCATTCTTACTGTTAAAGAAAAGTAAGTTGGGCTTGCTGAAATTGTCTAGAGACATCACCTCGTGTGCTGTCTGTATTCCTCGCGCTGTGTGACTACCCTTCAGTTGCTTCACTTAATCTGAATAAAGTGGTTGGTTCTTATGTCTGTCTTACCATGATCCTTTATCACAGGTCCTAGCGCCACCAATCTTATAATAGGCTCCATCGCTGGTGCCATCCTGGTAGCAGCTATTGTCCTTGGGGGGACAGGATGGGGCTTTAAGTAAGCAATGCCGCATGTCTTCTCTCCAGTGGCTATGGCGTTTCTATTTCTTGCTTACATCACTAAATTTTGAGTTTCTGCTACAAGATTTCTAACATAACTTCACCCCTGCAAACTATAACAAACCGCTGTAAAGAGAAGGAATTACACGTGCACTGAACAAGCGGAGGAAATGGATTTGAAACTCGCAGATGCCATCAGGGTGCAAAGTTGAAGAACAATAAAAGAATGAATTTAACTGCCATGAGTTCACCCTAACACTTAGGGAGCAAGGTCTTTTTTTTCACCTTCAATGAGTAGCGTTGTTCTCAGAAGCTGACTACAGCGGTTCAAAACCTCAGAAGATACGTGTCTCAAGGCGTGTTTATTTTGAATGCAGCAGTCCTTTCAAACTGATAAACTTTTTTATAATTGCAGACTTGGTGTGTAAATGGTAAGTGGTGGCAGCAGCTGAGTAGTTTTCAGTAACAAATGAGTTGGCACAGTTGCCTCAGAAGTACCAGAGCTAGCTTTTGTTTGTGGTTACTGGTTTGGTTTTTTTTTTATTAGCAATTCACAATTTTTTTAATAATTCAGGTTTAGAGAGAGCGTTGTGAAATCTTGAACTGTCCCCTGAAAGATGAAAACATTTCTGACCCACTTGTGGTTCAGAGCGTTTTATAAGTATGAAGAGTAACATAGCAGTCATTCTGCTGTGACCGTTAAAGCAAAGAGAGTCTTGTACAAAGGTACTCAGTTCTTACCTTTTTTTGTAGCATCAAGTCTCCCTACATGCATAGTCCATATCTGGTGAAAAGGATCTAAATTTAGAATCAATGTTTATAACCTTACTAACCCTGGAAGCGTTAAGCACAAGAACAAGTAATTTCTCATGATATTCAAATTGCTATTTCTTGTTAATAACAAGAATCAAGATTAAGCCACAATAGAACAATAAGATGTAATTCCTCCATCAGGTTTTTATAATAATTCAAAGAATATTTTATATGGCCTATATTCACATTCCGTGTCCGAGTTGAGGAGAAAAAGAATTATTCCTTAACATATGAAGGCAGCTATCAAAGTAGAATAAAGTGATAGGGTTATATATATCTGTTAATTCCCTTCCAAAGGTCACCTGAAAATGTTTGTTTACTTCTGGTTTAGACTATTCTATTTTCATAGTGTCCAGTGGCACTGGACACCGCACATGCACACCGAAGCACAATACTTCTAAATCTCTTTCAGCACTGCTGAAAACAGACTTTGCCCTTGCTCCTGGACAGGGCAATTACCACTGCCTGTTGCACTGCCTGCCACTGCCGGTGTTTTCAGAAAGGCCCAACACCTGCCACATTCATTTTTCTCTAATTGCGTGTTCTGAGGGAAGTTACACTCCCTGCGCTTGCCCCTGGCACTGGCAAGAGCTGCAGTGCTGCATGCATCGGCTGTGGGGGTCAGTGCTCCTCGTTTGCTTTGGTAAGACGAGATAAAATACAAAATGTGTCAAAAGATCCCTCTTTAAGCATGGGTGTACGATCTCCATAAGCCTTTTTAATCCCTGCTGACAGACTTACCTTGAGCGGCTGTATTTTTTTTTCTTACAGCTTATACACAGTTAAATAAAATAAATCCACTTGTTCAATAAATACCCCAAAGTCAGCCTCCAGTATTTGGAAGTACTACAGGGCAGCTCTAAACAACATAGTTTTAATTCAGCATTGTGTCTCATATGGCTGACATTTGTGTTTTCCATATTTATAAACAGTAAAATTATTTAGTATTTATGCATTTTTGATTTGTTATGTTGTTTCATCAAATCTATGTTCAAAGGCAGAAATTCAAATGAGGCATGCATTTTAGAATATGCAGTGGCAGACATGGATTTGCATGTGCTGTTAACACAAGCAGGAGCTGAGATTCTTTTCATTTGGCGGATTGAAAGATTTCTTCTGAGTAAAGGCCTCATCTGGAAATAATGCTTTTTTACAGACTCTCTGTAATACTTGGACATATTCTATAGCATTAACTAATACCGAGTACATTTGCATTTTTTTCTACCGTGCCCTACTGGATGCAGAATTATAGGAGCGAGTTGTCTTTTAGCCTAAATAAAGTATATAAAAAAATACATAAAATTTCAGTGCGTTGCAGAACTGAGGGGGTTTTTTTCCCCGCACTTCACTGCAATTAGCTTTTTAAGTACAGCCGAGTTTTCTGCAAGGCTTGTGTTAACACTTCTGTTAATTTTTTTATTCATTAATTAACAACACTGCCTGCACATTTAAAGCAATAATATTAGAAACATTGATATTGCAAGTTCCCATGGGAATTAACCAAGTTAGATTTTGCTGGAAAAAAATATGCCATATGATACTTTTGGACCAGCTTTCTGCTATCAGAGGCACGTGTCTGTTACGTAGCAATTCAGGTACTTCCCAAACACACGGTGCTCATCCCTAAACAATGCATTTGTATTGCAGAAGGTGAATTGTTGAAAACACGGTACAGGTCACTACATTATAAAAACTTTAGGCAGTTTCTTCCTCTGAATCTTTTTAAGCTGTCTTGTGCCGTAACAACCTTTGCTCTTTTACGTCGGTGCTGCAGCCCCTGCTAGCAGCCGTGCAGCAGCCTGGCTGCCGGCTGGGGAGGCCCACGCTCAAGAGCTTGCACACACACAGATCTTTCTTTAGAAGAATCCCTCCCTGTCTGGAACAATGCAGTATTTAATTATTTCTTCTTTATGTTCTGCATCTCTCAAACCACTCCCCCAAGCGCTCAGCTTTGCATCCTGGTGTCATTCATTTGCCCAAATGTAGAAGCTTGTTATCCCTGTAGAGGGTCTGTATTGGAAGCGCCTCTGGAGGCTCTGACTCTCCAAAGAGCAGGGCACAAATGTTCATTCTGTAGCAGAACCTCAAATACACTGGCCTGGCCTAGCTCACAGCTTGAAGTGCATGTTTCTTCTGGGGGTCAGAGGGGAACTGAAAAGGCTTTTCAGCTTGTATACAAAAGAGGGCTGGCACATGCAGGCCCTCTGATACTTTGCTTCAGCTGTATCTGGAGGGACAGATGAGGATAATAAAGAGGATTTTTAACTTTTCCTTTTTAAGCAAGTGATATGTTTAGTCTCTGCAAATATGAGAGAAGGTAGCTAATGCTTTACAAACTGGGAGATGTGATTTCTGTTTCACAGGTTATCAGATGTTCATATGAACATACGGTACTGTGGTGTCAAGGCCTTATCAAACGTAAGCTGCAACTAAGCAAACTTTGTTCATGAACTGAGGTGGTGGGGGTGGGGGGTGTTGAAGGGGAAGTATAAAAGAAAGCTTGATGCAAGTTTGGAGAAACAGTAAAAAAAAAAAACAAAACAAACAACTTCCTATATCAAGAATGAATCCTAGGTTAATTTTTTCTAGTCAAGCTGATGGGTGGATAGAATAGGAAAGAAAAAAGTTAACGGACAATTTTAGGGTGCATAGGACCACGTTACACATTTCAGGTGGCTTAGAGTTAAAGGCTGTGGGTGGAAACATTGTTAAGAAGTAAATTTTACTTCAGCTGAGCCTTGTGTAGCACTTTTAAAGCTGTTGGTGTTCAGACTGCAGTAAGGGAGTCCTGTGTGTTTCTACCTGAACTCTGGTGGGTGATGTACAGAAGTGCGGCATTCATGAAATGTGAAGTTCAGTTTGATGTAGCAAGTCTGTGCAATATTTCAATATACAGGGTTTCACGTAGGACCGTTCAAGTATGGACATTTTTACCATTAGAGTAGTTCTGCTGTGCATTGACTGCAATTGCAGTCTCAGGGGCCTACGCTCACTTTTTTTTTTCCCCTAGCATATATTCACTCACTTTTGCAAAGCTACTGCAGTAACGTAAGCCAATTAAATGCTTTTGTTGCTGACTTTAACAGTATTAAAGCAATTTTTGGTAATACAGGAACACTGCCAAGAGGCAATGCTAGTAAAAGTTATGCAGAAATGCATGAGGAGCTGCTTCTCGTTATATCAGAATGCAGAAGTGGCTGACAGAGAAGAGTTGATTGCAGGCACAACTCTATTTCCAGCAATTGTTTCTTAGCTGAAGAGCTGCAGTGTTTTCTATCCCTTTAACGGAAGATTAATGGATGGACCAAAGACCTTGATCAGACCTTACAGATGCTGAGTTTTTAACTGGTCTGTGCAGATGCATTTAATACCCCAAAAGTTTCTGCAGGATAAGGCAGCAGAATGCTAACGGCAACTCTGTGAGGAAGGAGGTTTCGGTCCCTTACCAGCATTTCCGTAAAGCGCTGATCATGGAACCTAAATACAGTCATCACTACACAGACATCAGCATTAGAATCAAGCGTGAGATCTGTTCCTCCTTTTTTCCAGACTACCAGAATAAGTGGCAGGTCAGCATCTTATTTTAAGCTGCTAATTGTAGTCCCTCATTTTGTTAATTTGAATCTCTTCAGCATTTTAACCATGCTTTAGGAATGCCTATGAAAGCATTAGCTATTTGAAGTGGTTAAAATACTGGGTTTGGACAAATCTTTAAACATGTAAGTAAAGCTTTGTATTTATGTGATCACAGGCAAAGGCAAAGATTTGCAAGTAAAATACCATGTAACCACATTCCTCATCAGTTGCAAAAAAAAAAAAAAAAGCAGAGGATTGCAATAAGGCATTTCTGACATCCATCCAGCCTTTTCTGAAACCAGTTTTCTTTTCTGAAATATTTGTTGTTTGTAGAGATGACCATGTTATACAGAGGCAGTTATGTGCTGTAGCATAGTGTGCTTTTTTGTTTCAGAATCACCCATAATTTTGGTTTTGTTAGAGATGCTTTTTCTGGTTGGATTACAGACTGAAAGGCTGAGCCTCGTTATTTAAACCATTAAATGCAAAAAGAAGTGTTAGTGTTCTCAAATCTTCCACATAAACCAACAAAGAACTAGGAAGCAGTATCATTCTCTTACGTGCCCTTCCACAGAGGGCTATTTGCCCCCTGCCTTATCGTTTTACTGAGGCACGCTGAAAGGAACCTCCTACCACTACAATACGTGGCTGTAACGAGGTGCCGATCTCCAGGACCTGGAACTCACCTAGTTGCCTTTCTTTTTATTGTAATTTTCTTGGGGAAGAGGGAGACTTGTTCCATTTGCCAATTTAAGTAAGGCTGCTGTCTTAATTTTAGTATTAAAATGGTTGGCAATTTGGGATGAAAATGTTAAAGCAGGTCAGGGAACTGGAATAGAACTCGGATTCCTGCAGGCTAACACCTGACTGCCTACCCCTGTGAAGTGCTACGATGGTGGCAGAGAGATGGGGTGGGCTCTTTGCACATGTGCACCGCGTTCCCTTATTGACGCTCTACCTGATGTTCCATATTTCAGAGACTGTTTCAGGCTCTTACCTAAATGATCTTTTAGTTCTTCACATGTTTCTCTCTCATGCAACACAGTTAGCAGAACATCCTAGGGGAAGAAAGGCAGTGGTTCGGTTAGTATCTTACTCCTCAAAGCGTGTATTTCTGCTGGATAAAACCAGGAAATGAGTAAATACATGGTTTGATCAGATGACAGAATGCAAGGCACAGCAGACTTTGCCTGTTGCCCCGTAGCACGGGTGCTGCCTGAGGTGTCATATACCCCAGCGGTCCTTACTGGAACACTACACTGGTGGAGATCAGGTTAGAAAAGGTTTGGTAGGATACAAGGCAAAAGAGTTTTGTTACAAGGTGGTACTGGGAAGCTAGCGCAGCATCTGTCCTCTGTACCTTGTTCTGAGACTTACAAAGTCCATCTCCTTAATTAATATGAGCTCAGGTAACAATGTAATTCAGTGTACGTTTTAATGACTTGTCCTCTTCAGGCAAACAGGAATGTGGTACTTTCCCTAGAGTAGGAGGACAAGTTACGTCATCTGGATTTTTCACATGCATTGATGATTTGTTTTAAGGGGGCTGACTAATTAGTTGCTCATCGGTAGTGTTTGAATTCAAGTATGCTAGACAGTATTTAAAGGGCAGCGGGCGGAGGGGGAAGAGGAGCAGACATGTCCTTTCCCCATTGAAAGTGGCAGGACAAGTAGACGCAAAGCAGGTTTTAACTCCCATTTAACCAGACTGTATTATAGTCGTGCGTCCTATCGTGCAGTTCTGCAAGTTGGCCTGAAAAAATAATTTGCTCATCTCAAATTTACCTATAGTACAGGGGACGGTGGATTGAGATATTGAACTAATGTCAGCCTAATTCATAAAGAGCTTTAGTACAGAACTCCTAGAGGAAAAAGGATTGAAAGATGAATATAGCGATCTTTCAGAAACCATCAATTCTTAAACCAGTCACCTTGCAAAAATGTAGGCACTGGTACCCAAGGGAAAAATAAGACAAAGGATGCCCAAGCATTACCAGTCTCTGGAATTCATATCAAAAAAAAGTTGCCTTTTCATACATCCATTAGTCTCTTGCAGCACCAGGCAAACCTTGTGTATATTTATAAATACTGTAGCAGTGGTAGTAGGTATCAGGGCTGCAGAAAACAGAAAATCTTGGGGTTGGTATGTAGCTTTAGGAAATTCATGAATTCCTGTTGTGTATTTTTTGCATGTCAGTTTGGTGGCGGTAGTGGTGCATATGCCCAATGTTAAAACTAAATGCATGAGCCCCTTGCTTGATGCCCCACATAAAGCCAGATACTGGGGAGGTTGCACCCAACTTTTGTTGTCGCTTCCTACTGTCTTGCTGTTTGACATAGGATATCGGTATCGCAGGAGACTGGATAACACTGACCAGCTTGCTGTCCCCTGTCCACATTAAATTCTAATCACACAATTTACAAAACTGTCCAGTCTCCTTCGAGTGCAATGTCTTTGCTATATTTTGCACCTTACTAAGATGCACAGCAGTTATGGTCAATAGCAGGGTAAGAGCTCACAGAGGCACTCACTTTTTCATCATGCTGGAATACGTAAACTAAATGCTGGTATTCTGATAGAGCCAGAGACGGGCACTTGCTCAGAGAACTCAGCTCTCTCCGTGTGCTTATGTATTTCCAGTCCTGGCACTTCTGACTCATTCCCTTTAGGTGTACGCACGCTTTCTTGGCCTAGTGGGCACACATGTTACTGGGGGCTGAAAGTTTCTACAAATTTAGAGCACCACTTGAAGTACTACAGAAATAATTGAATTCTGTAGGCCAGTGTGGTCTTTAGCTGCGTAAGGAAACCAATACTTGATACCATGCTACAGAAAGCGTGCAACCAAATTCTTTAAATTGTTACCTCTTGGAAAAGTTACTCGTTAAATTGTCTCAGTGTGAGCCTTTTACTTTACTATGACCTTGGCAATGGCTTTGTTCCTGTTATATCTAACTAATGTCTTGCATTTCTCTCTTCACCTCCTTTTGATGCAACCTGGAAGAAATGTCAAAAAACGAAGGTTCGATCCAAGTCAACAAGGCCCTATCTGAAGAAATGCGATTCAGAAAGCTGCTTCTTGCACTACTGGATTTGGGGTATGATGTCTTTGCTGTAGCTGCACAGGAACTAAATCAGTAAGGAAGAAGATGAGAAATAGTAACTATAAACACAGTGTTGGGATGTTAGGATTTGAGGTGGTAGAAGACTGTCCTTTTTGGAGATAAGTTCAAAATACTTCCTCCGTTCACCTTTCTCTTGTTAAAATTAACTGACAAGTGTTACAAGGAAACTTTGTTTCAAAATCAGGTGGGTTTTTTTCTTTCCTCAAACAAAGGAGGAGACACACAAACCAAGTGCAATAAGAGAACTGTTCCAAAACACCAAAATAGCAGAAGATTTTTTTCCCAGCCTGCTGGCACTCTAACTTCACTTGAATTCGCATGACTTCCTTCTTCTTATCAAACTCCAGTGGCATGAGGAGCTGATTCTGAAAGGGTAACCTGCATGGCTCACGTACAACCAACCAAGCTAGCGAGCTGACCCCAAGCAAGCAGAACCTGCAGCCCAATAAACACAAACCACTGGGAAGCCGATACCAGGCTCCGATAGCTTTTCCAGCCATGCAGCGCATCCTGCCTCTGGGCTTCAGAGCTCCCCGCTCTGTGAGCTCGTTGTCCCCTTGTTTTGGTCTCCTGGGCCAGGAGTCTGTTGGCTATGGAAGCTATCGAGTGATGGATGCAATTCTTCCAAGAAGGAAAAAGTGTAAATATGGAAATAAGATTTTGACCTATCGTTTTCACAGATTATATATAAATATATATATACAAGAGGAAAAGGATTTCCATAGAAAATGATTTATTCTTTATGTAAATCTATTTTTTATGTTGGGTTTGGGTTTGGGTTTTTTTTGCTCCCCTTTTTTTCTGTAGCATGTTGTACAGCAGATGTTCTGGGCTTGCTCAAAAAAGGCAGACAATAGCATGCAGATGCAGGGAGTTCTGACACCAACAGATGTGATCTAAAGTTTGTACGCTTGAAACCAAAACCAATTAAAAGGTATAAATGGATATCTATGTATTGACTACAAGTCTGGATTACTTTTTTTGGGCTGTTACACAGATTTTCCATAACTCAAACTAATCACAGAAGTGCCAAGCCTCTTGTTTTTTTAAACTATAGTTACTCTTTTTCCTGTCTAGATCCTGTGAAATAAGAACTTAAATAAGCCTTAAAAGCTTGGGCCGAGTTCTTCTCTTGCCTTCGGCCCACCCACCCAACTGGGCTTGCAAAGGTGACTGGCATTTGTAACTCACTCCCTGTATCTCCTTGATGCGTCTCGCTCTTCAAAGTCTAATGCAAAATTAATACTTTGACCCTTGGCTACTGACAGGTGGCTACCATCACAAAGCGTGCAAGATCCCATGTAATTTCAGGGGGTCCTGTGTCGTAATTACTTTTCGATACACCCTGTGCACAGACATCATCTTTGCGGAGAAGTTCTGGGCAGCAGTACTGCTCCCCTAGCAACCCCCCTGGACCTGGCTTGAGAGGGTATGAGGATGGCTGGGTTAGGCCTCCTGTAAAGCACAGGGCTGTACGCGCCGGCTCAGCCTTTGCATCTTGATTTAAAACCCAGGCAATCCAGCTGATGAAAGTGAAGTGACCTGAAAATGTCACTGCTGCATCTGATAATCAGAATTAAAAGCTTTTGTAATCTTGGATTTGATTTAAAGGTTGGATATTGGTGGCAACAGCAGTCCAGTTACACCACTTACTCCATCTTTGTTTAGTGGAAATCCATGTCCTGAGTTAGCTTTAAAAGCCAAAACATTACGAAAATGCTGCAGATTTCCTGTGACTTACAAAATCTCAATTATCTCTCTTATTATGATAATGTTCAATCCAACAGTCTCACAAGAGAACTGCAATACATTGTTTTGGTTGACAGTTATTATTAAATACTTTTAAACAGCTTTAACATAATCACATTAACACTTACTGTGTTATGAGTTAAAGGTGCTGCACGCAGGTGGTCAACATTGATACATATTATAAATCTTATTCTGAAAAATTCCCGCCTGGCTTCAAGCAGAATGAAGTTAGCGATAATATTTTAATGGCAAACCAAAAATACTTGCAATTGTATTATTGTCCTCTGAAAGTCCTCTGCTTGGGAACATAATCCCCAAGGTTGTTTGGGTTCTGCTTCCAACGCAAGGGTAATCCACAACAGAAACGCTAGTGGTTACCAAAAATTAAAGTAAGTAAAATCACCTGGATATACATAAACTACCTGTGTAATAAACCTCCAAGGAGCATTTCACAAACGACATTGTTAGTGTGTGATGTGATGTTTTGAATCAGACCACAGTGGTCCCCAACTACTATGTACATATGTTCCATGCTGGAGTAACTAACTTCTTTATTTACACCAGCGGTTTCACGGGAATTAAGGTTTCTTGACCGAATTCATGCTCCACGCCTCAGGCACCCTCTGTGTGTGTGTGTGTGTGTGTGTGTGTAAGAACACATTCGCTTTCTGCCCTGTGTGTACACAACGCGAGTGACAACACGGCTCAGAGTAGGTACAGGCTGAAGTAAAAAACTGGTTTTGGTAGGTGTTGATTTTCTACATCCTGCCTTTGCCATGCTTTGTTCATCACAAAGCGTCATCAAAAGACGACCTGGCCAGCGCTGCCTCTGTTTCCTCCCCTGTACTCCATTATTTCTCCCTGTTCATCTGGACAAGAAGCCGTGGTAACTGTACAGCTCGGTCCAGTTTGCTGCATGATCTCACTGACTTGATCTGATCCTCCTAAAAAGAGACGTCTGCTCGGCAAATTAACAGCTGTATAGGTGCATGCTAACAGAAACAGATTGCTTACTTAAGGCTGGAGTTCAACCAATTTTTCTTTACTATGCAAAGATGGGTATTGCACAAACAAATTTAAGACAAGTGTCTGAGGAAATGCCATAGAATACTTGAAGTTATGTTTTAAGCCTGACCAGTCATGTTTTGTATTCATCATTGCTTCCACTGTTAGTCTTCCTTTTAAAAATTATTTGTAATTATTTTTTTAAGTACACAACTTGACGTTATAAATCAGTTTTTTGTTTGAAGTTAAATACTCATTCATATTGTGTTGGCTGCTAATGAATGGAAATGCAATAGTCCTTGTTCTGCGTCTTAGCAAGATGAGTATTAAAAATGTCATGAACATGGAACGGAGTTGTTCTTAATTTTTGGTCATGTTTTCCCTTATTTATTCTCTCCATTTTATTTAATTTCTGTGTTCAAGATATCACCACCCTTACAGTCATGGAAATTTACCGGCGTTTTCTTTTAATGAAGATCTCTTAAACTGTGCCCCATCCCGCAGTGAGATTCTGCCTGTGACAGGACCTTGCACGCAGGCTTCCTGCCCTCACCAGCGCCTCAGCAGCCAGGGCCGAGCAGAAGGAGGGTCCCAGGCCCCTCCAGTCCCTCGGCTGGCCTCACCCAGGTGGGTGAGACCCACCCCATTAGTTAGTTGAGGGAAGCCTTTTGCAGTTCAAAAACCTAAATTACATAACTACAAAGAGTCTAAAATGAGGTAATTATTTAAAAAACATTTTGAAGGCCTCATAATAACCAATAATATCACCATCATTTTAATGGATTACTGAATGAAACTCAGTTTCCCTTTTAGTTTTTTTTGCCAGACTAACTCTCCTGCAGCCAGCCTGGGAACACTAAATGCATGCACGGCCCAGTTACCAAATAACTACCGATACTTTTTTTCCTTTTTTGCTTTCTCCAGCTCCAGACAGGGAAACAAAATATGCTTTTGTCTTAATACCCCCAAGGTTATGTATGAACGCACATTTCTCAGTCAGAGAGAACCAGAGGGAGGGAACGCAGTCATTAACGGATCTGCTAACATCCACTTCTATTCCCCATCATTCAAACAGAGGAGGATTTCTCTGTAAGCTCAGTACAAACATGCAATGACAGTAGCCAGTCATTCCAAAAAGAGGAGTTAAGCCTTTTGCAGGATACAAATACAAAAGGAGTATACAGACAGACGTGTGTCTGCTTCTGATTTTACAAGAAAAATTCTTAAAGTTGTTTTTGAAAACTTTCACGATTACAACACGAAATAGCGTGAGCGATCTTGGTGGGGCACTTATATCAACAGAGCAGCAAGTCGCATCGTACAAACCCTACAAAACCTTCTTTTGTTCCAAATGCACTTACTACAGATTCCTACCCACGAGAGCTGAAAAATGAATTTAACGTGAATCATCCATCAGAAATACAATAGAGGCTGTTTAAGTGCCCTCAGAAAGATGGAAGAAAAAAAAGTAAGTAGGAATTTTAGTAGTAGTAGTGCTGCTCAAACCAGTACTATTGAAAGCAAAAGGTCACAAAAACATTATCGTAAAGCTGCGCATACTATAATTCTGTTCAGAGCTTTACTGTTCTGAACTTAGCAAGCACAGCAGCGCACAGTCACATTCTTGGAGGTTTACTGAGTCAGTCATTCAGTGGAAGCGCGTAACGCAAGAGGACACACGGCCTCTAGGTAAGCACAGGGCTCCACGTCAGACCAGCACAGACATCCACTCACTGTGCGTTATTTCTGAGCAACCCCCAGCTGCTGAAGGTAGCATAATTCAGAATGCTCTAATTTGTAGAAACCTGGTAATCGTGTGTCAGTCTATTTGTTCTTGTTAAAACTAGTTTTGTCGTAAGTCACCGGATGCTCCTCCTCTTTACCACCAACAGTGTAACAGGCCGCGCTTTAGTGTGGCACTTTCTGAGCCAGTACAAGAATCTCCCCACCAAGCCGGTACCTCAAAGCACGAGGGAGCTAACGGCCTTTGTTACCCACTCTCACGTGCGGGACGCAGCCATGCCCAGCGCCCCTCGTACGGCCCGGGGGGAGCTGCTGCTCTCGGCACTGCCTCAGTCTCCCGGTGGTGTCAACCCACCAAAGGCTGGGCTTAGGCTGAAGTGCTGACCCAGGAACTGGGCCTCTTTAGGACATGCACCCCTGCGTGATGATTAATGGCAGGGAGGCAGAAACCAGCACAAGTCTCCTGATCCACATCCAGGTCTCAGACTTCATAAGCACAACACTGCACTGCTTTAAAAATTTCTCTTAACTGTTCATGTATCATTGACAGATTTCCTCAGCCACCAGCGCAAATACTATAAGCTTTGAATTTGCTTTGGGGACTGCGAGGCAATAGGTTCTCATCTGCACTACCTCTGGCTTTGTCTGTCGCTTGACATGAGGAGTTGAGCGAGAAGCTCAGGCTGTTAAAGCTCTGCCTTTAACTGAAGAGCAAGGTGTGAGCGTATGACACGCCTGCTCCGTTAGAGACCGGAGCGCTCTGGTTCCGCAG